CGCCCCTCGGCAGCGGCACCGCCCAGCGGTCGTCTCCTCCTTGGCGCTGCGGCGGCGGCGACCTCGAGCGCAACGGGCGTCCGCCACCAACAGGCGCCGAGACCTTCTTGACCGTCTCTTTGTCGAGGTCGGCAACGAACGAGCCTTCGTCCAGGCGGATGAGGAGGAGGTGAGTCTTGCTCATTCCGGGCGGATCGAGGGAAGTGACGAGAGGCTTGTCTTGCGGCTTGGGCGGACGTGGAGGCGAGGGCGGACGAGGGGGACGAGAAGCGAGTTGGGCGCGGAGCGAGGCGGCGTCTTTCTCGACTGCGTCGAGGCGCGAGATGAGGCTCGTGCAGCGCGGTTGGTGTTCTTCGAGGTTGGCGCGAGTCGACTGCGCGCCGCAGAAGGCAAAGTTGCGGCACCTGCGAGGCGGCAGAAGGTGAGCGAGGTTGTGAGCGGGAGAAGCGGGCATGCCCACCTGAAGCGCGTGCAGACGGTCATGTGGTGCTCGACGTTGCTCCTATAGATCTTGCCACAGATGTCGTTGTCGCCGTTCGGGCAGGCGACCAAGCCGTTCGGACAAGTCGAGGTGTGGCTCAAGCCGTCCTTCGCGAGACTCTTCATCCCGCACGAAAAGCAGCTGAGTTCGCGGTAGTCGCATGACTGTATGAGAGAGCAGTATCAGTGTATCTGCGTGAGGCAGGAGACGCGGAAGGACGGACATGCAGGCGGTGATCGCACTCGTCTCCCACCGAACCCACCCATTCGCAGCCCGCCGCATGCCTCGAGCAGCGATACTGCCGAGTCGAGTGCCTCATCAGCTGCGCATACGAGCAATCGAGACCGTTGTACGTACCCGCAAGCCCTCAAGGATCCGCTTCCCAACAATGCTGACCTCGTAATCCTCGTCGGCGACAGCTCTGCAGGTCGGGCATGCCGGCGGTTCCTCCGGGTGCGCATCGGGAGAGTCGATGACGTTCATGAGGCACTCTTCGCACAAGATGTGCTGATTCTCGCAGGCAATGACGGGCTGCCAGGCGACATCTTGACAGACTATGAACGAGCAAGGTCAGCCGCGGTCCTTTTCTGCGGGTGTTTGCTGGCTGAAGAGGTACCAGGACAGCACAGCGCCTGCGGGACAGGGTCGAGGAAGTTGTCGAGGTCGGCCGGCATGTCCGGGACCAGGAGCGGGAAGCGGGGCGCGGGAGGCGTGCGGGTGCGTGCGAGGGGTGTTGTGCGTAGCTGGGCAGTCCTGAGAGCCCTCTGTAGCGGTCCTCGAACGTACGAGCGGTGTGCGAGCGAGAGGAAGGAGCAGAAGCGTGGTTTGGCGAGGGGCGAGGCCAAAGCGAAGTCGAGTTGACATCTGCAGGGGACGCGTTCGAAAGCTACTGAGGGTTCAGAGGAGTACTCTGGGGTCAGCGGGAGGTCGGCACAGGCGCAGGACGCGAGACAGCTTCGAAGAGAGGGCGAGGAAGACGATGACAGCCTGCGCAGATCATCTCACACGCGTCGCTGGCAGGCTGACTGGTTGTGCGCGTGTCAGAAATATCCTCAAAGTGCACACAGTCAAGTCAGCGAAGCGAGAAGCCCGTCTAAAGCCAGCAACGCCTGCGGACGTCGAGTTCCTGCTTTGCGAGGTGTCCAGCGTCCTCACGGGACCCTCCGCCTGGATCCTCTTCAATGTAAAGTCGTGAAGCGTCGTTTGGCGTCGTTTGTGAGATCATCACGTCGCACGAGCGTCGCCAGAGGACGAGAAGCGAAAGCTGAGCGTCCAGAACAGCAACGACAGCTGCAACGACGCTCCTTCGCCCGCGAGTGTCGCTGCTCCCCTTGAAGCGTCGCTTCGAGCGCCAGGCGAGCCGGAGGAAGGAGAGCGGAGCAACAGCACGGTAACTTACACATTCCGCAACGACGCGCCGCCACACGCACCCTGCGCGACTTGCTCGTCTCGCCAAACTTGGGCTCTCTCTCGCTCTCGAATAGCATCCAGCAATGCCGCAGATACGCCTACCGCGCAGTCCAGGTCCAGCCAGCCCCTTGCTCGGCGCAGACCAGGACGCGTTCGACTTCCCCCGACCGCGCAGACGCTGCTCGCGCTCGCTCGTCGTCCTCGCCCCTCTCGCCCTCGCAGCGACCGTGGCACTCGCGCACTCGACGGGGAGACTGCCAGACTCGGTGCAGGCGTATGCTGAACGGATACCGGACTTGCGCATCTGGCGCGTGCAGGGAGGCGAGCCTGAGAAGGTCGTCGAGGAGGAGGTCGTTGGACAGGACGAGGTGCTCGAGCCAGAAGTGCGCGTCGAGGAGGAGGAGCAGGAAGAGCCTCTGCCGCGGATACGGTGGAGCAAGGAGGACAAGAAACTGCGGAGGTACACCTGGACGACGCCAAAGGTCCACAGCAGCTTGAGCAGGATGCTGGAGGAGCTGTCGCCCGTGCGTCCCTTCCCGTCCCATACAAGCACCAAGCTGACCGACACTCGCGTACAGTCGCAAAATCAGACCCGCGAATGGCTGTTGCGCAGCCGGACGAACACGACGGGCGGAACTGGCGTCGGGTTGGGTGCAGACGACCCGCCTCGACGGATACGACCTGCTCCTGCGTTGACTGCACATTCGTACGCGCCGAACGAGTCGGAAGGACCGGGCCTGTTTGGGAACGGCTCGTATGAGAAGTGCGTCCACTTCCACGCCTCCCTGCCTCGTCTCTTCATACTGATCGCAAGCTCGCAGATACGAGGACCTGCTGCAGGAATGGCGAACGGGTCGGCCGGGCGAAGTGTGTGAGAAGGGCTTGTGGGAGGACGAGTACGCCGAGATGCACGCCGCCATGCTCAACCGGTCGCGGAAGGCGAGCTTGCTCGAGTACGTCTGTCGGCAGGGCGAGTATTGCGGAGGATTTGCGGATCGGTGCGTCGATTTTGCAGCATGTGGAGGGGTGTGAGCTGACTTTGCGGCTAACAGGATCCTCGGCATGACAAGCTCATTCCTCTACTCGATCCTGACAAAGCGCGCCTTTTCCATCACTTGGGAGCAACCCGCTCCCGTCGACCTCTTCTTCGACTCGCCCTACATCGACTGGTCCCGCCCCTTCAACAAGACTTCCAGCACGCCCGTCCACCCCGTCTACAAGGACCGCAAGCTCTTGAAGAACCGGACGGAGGTCAACGCGCATAACTGGGAGCCGCCGCAGGTCGACGAGTTTATGCCGACGTTTGTTGACCAGTTCGGCGGGAACAAGAACACGTCGTGGTTGCAGGTCCGTTCCTTTACCCTCCTTCATCCCGCTGGACCAGCCTGACTCCCGCTCCGCAGCTCGACTTCAACCGCGGCGTCATCATCCGCTCCTTCTCGTACCCCAAAATCGGCGAAACCATGTCCTCGCTCGGGTTCAAGATGACCACCGCCTACTCGTGCCTCATCAACTACCTTCTCCGCCCGAAACCCGCCGTCCTCGCTTTCATCGCGCAGTACACCTCGTTCTTCGCGCTGCCTGAGAACTACGTGATCGGGATCCAGATCAGGACGGGTGACTTGTCGATGGTACGCCGCGCTCTCGCTTCCGTCGCGCAAAGTCTCGCTGACGCTCGCTCGGCGCGCGTAGTGGGCCGACTACAAAGACGCCGTCAACTCCGTCCACAAGTACCAACAATACTTCACGTGCGCCGACTCGGTCGCGCGAACCTACGCTCACCCGTCCCAAAAAATCGTCTACTACTTGATCACCGACAGCCACAAGCTCGAGCGAGACGTTCTCCGCCGCTACGGCGATCGAGTCGTCGTGACGGGGTTGAAGCAGGCGCATGTCGAGATCAAGACGGATAGGTCGGATGGGTTGCAGGCTATCAAGAAGGTTGCGGATGGGTTTATGCGCACCGTCGCCGAGAGCTGGATCTTTGCGGGTGCGCGCGCTTCTCTCTCTCCTGTGCTGGCGAAGACTAACGAGTGCGCCCGCAGGAACCGACTTCCAGATCCTCACCCAACGCAGCGGGTTCGGCAAGATCCGTACGTCCCGTCCTGCTCTCCCTTCTGGCCCCCGCTCCTCGCTCACCCTCTCGTACGCAGCGACCTGGCTCCGCGGCAAAGAAGGCACGACAATTGCGCTGTTCAACGAAGGAACCGACCCGGAGTTCACGGCGCAGTACAAGGCCGCGAACGAGGGTCGGTTGCCTCCGCCTATCGACTGCTCGAAACCCGAGGCGTGCGTTCCTTTCTCTCCGTTGTGACGGAGCAGGACTGACAAGTTTTGGCGACATAGGCTCGTCACGTTCAAGCAGATGGCGCAGGACTGGTCGCTCGGCTAGACGTCCTCGACCTGTCTCGAGTCGGCTGGCTCGCCTACTCTTCCTTTGTGCTCTCCCCTCCGTCGCTCCGCATCGCTCGCATATCCCGCCACATATATCCTTATCAGCCTTCCCTCGCAACTATTCCCGTTGAAACCGCTCGCCTGGTCAGCGACAGAAAGAGGAAAAGGTATGAGGGGAAGAGAGCTCCTGCGAGCCCTCGTCATGCATTTTGAGTTCACGCCTGTACAGCTCAGCTACTCCGCCGTGCCGCTCACTTCTTGGTAAGCAATCCCGTAAGGACCTCGACAACCTTGTCTCCAACCTGGGTCGTAGTCTTGTCTCCACCCAAATCCTTCGTCCTGTACGCACACCCACCCGCACTCTCATCATCCAACACGATCCTGACCGCCTCCTCGACCAACCGTGCCTCTTGTTCCTTTCCAAACGAGTACCGCAGCATCAAGGCGACGGAGAGGATGGTCCCGATTGGGTTGGCGATGTTTTGGCCGGCGATGTCGGGCGCTGAACCGTGGATTGGCTCGTAGAGGCCGGGGATGCGAGAGGTGCCGTCGGGGATGCCGCCGAGTGAGGCGGAGGGGAGGAGGCCGAGAGAACCGGGGATGACGGAGGTCTCGTCCGAGAGGATGTCGCCAAAGAGGTTCTCGGCTGCGGGCGAGTCACGAGCGTCAGCGAGGTGGACTCGAGAGCAATGTGGGAGGGAGCGAAGCGCGACGCACTGAGGACGATGCCGTTCAGCTTGCGCGGGTTGGCGCAGATGAGCATGGCAGCCGAGTCGACAAGCTGGTGGTCGAGCTTGAGTTCAGGCGCCTCCTTGTCGAGCGTCTCCTGCACGACGCGCCTCCACAAGCGCGATGTCGCGAGGACATTCGCCTTGTCGACCGAGTGAATCGCCAGAGGCGGGTTCGAGCACTTGGCGAGGTACGCTGCGAGGCGTGTAATACGCTGCACCTCGGGGACAGAGTAGGTGCACGCATCATACGCCTCTGCGTCCTTTCCCTCCGTCGCGCCCGCAACCGCCTCGCGGCGTTCACCAAAGTAGATTCCGCCGATCAATTCGCGCACGACGACGATGTCGGTTCCTTGGGCGATGTGTTCCTTGAGCGGGGAGTGCGCGACGAGAGAGGGAGCGGGGAACGAGGCGGGGCGGATGTTGGCGTAGAGGCCGAGGGCTTTGCGGAGTGCGAGGAGGCCGATTTCGGGGCGGAGGGTAGGGTGCGTGCCCCACTTGGGTCCACCCACGGCGCCTGCAGACGGAACAGGCGACGAGGAACAGAAGGACGTGCGGCGGGGTTAGCGAACGACCTAACTCCGCCCGAGTCTTCTCCCTCTCTCGACGGCGCGGGGAAGTTTGCGCGCACCGAGCAAGATTGCATCAGCCTCCTGGCACGCCTTGAGCGTCGACTCGGGCAACGGGTTCTGGTGGTTGTCGATGGCGATTCCTCCAAAGTCGTGCGAGGCGACCTCGAACTTGAGGTCCGTGTGGGCTGAGAGGGTTTCGAGGACGCGGATGGCCTGAGCGGAGACTTCGGGGCCTGTGTACGTGCGACGTGATAGCGGTCAGCGCGAAGCCGCGGGAGGGGTGGGAGGGTTGTCGGCGATATCGTCCCGAGGTGTGCGAGCGAGATGGCGGCGCGGCGGCAGCACGGGTGCGCTTCGCTCGAGTGCCCAGCCGCATATCCATCCTGCAGCTACACGCCCCGTGTTCCCTCCATCGTCCCCCGTGGTGTCGTGATGCCGTGCGAGCGAGTCAAGGTGGGGTGGAGTGGAACGGTCTGTAGCGCACCGATCCCGTCGCCGGCCAAGCAGGTGATAGAGTAGGGCATTGTGATGGCTGCGAGTCGATTGGCGATGAGAAAAAGGACGGTTGTTCTGGTGTTTAGCGAGATTGACGAGTGGTCGAGGTGGGAGAGCGATGGAGGGAGCCGACGACGACGGAGACAGCGCCGGAGTCCGCGACTTTTCGCAGGCGGGTGCAGTCTACATCCAGCAGTGCAGTGGAAGTGCGTGCGAGGTCATCCCGGCTGTTCCCGCTGCTCCCCGTTGCGTCGTCGTCGAGTCGAACGCGGACCGGCACCGCCTCTCGAGCTCGTCCACCCGCTCACTCACTCGACACTCGCTCACTCGCTCGACTGGCGCTCGTTCACACCTGCTACACACTCAGACACTCTCACAGGACACCACCCGAACAAGCGCCGACTTGTCCCGCTCGAATTGGTCGCACACTCGACGAGCGAATGGCACCCAAACCCGCGCAGGCCTCGCTCGCAGGCCAACGAGCGATCAAGCACCTCGTCGTCGACACCGGAGCACTCATCGCCGCACCCGTCTCGTCCCTCCGAAACACCGCGACCCACTACCTCGTCACGCCCGATGTCGTCGCAGAGTTGAGGGACAAGCGCGGGAGGAACGTGATTGACGAGGCCAGGCTGCAGTTGCCTGCAGACACGGTCGACGAGGGAAAGGAGCGCGACGAGCTCTTCCGCGAGAATGAGGGGTTCGAGGTGCGCGAACCGACTGCAGAGGCTGTCGCAAAGAGTGCGTCCCCAGTCGCCCGTTCCTTTCTTTTCCTGTCCACTCCTGGCTACGACGAGACGCTGACCCTTTATGCTCGCCTCGTTGCGCGCAGTCACCGCCTTCGCCCGCAAGACAGGCGACCTATCCGTCCTCTCCTCCGCCGACATCCGCGTTCTCGCCCTCTGCCTCACGCTCGAACTCGAGGAGAACGGAACGTGGAGGGTCAGGGATCATCCGGGTCAGGTATTGACGGGGCCGCCGAAGGAGGAGAAGGAGGGAAAGGGGAAGGGGAAGGAGGAGGGCGAGGGGGAGGAGGCGGAGCGGTTGGCGGAAAGGGTGGAGAAGCTCGAGGTTGCTGATGGTGAGGCGAAGAAGGAGGACGAGCAGGCACCCGAGTCGTCTTCCTCCGCCGAACCCGCCGCGTCTTCCTCCTCGACCGCCTCCTCCACACCCTCCACGTCCTCTCCCGCCCACGACTCGTCTTCTGCCGCTGGCGCTTCGACTTCCACCGCCGAGACGCCAGCCGCGAACGCCGACGACGACGCCGACGCCGTCTCAGACGCCGAATCCGACTCGTCCGCCGGGTCCTGGATCACGCCCGACAACGTCTACTCTCACAAAGTCCGGGACCTCGGTCTCTTCGAAGCTCCCTCCACCAGCTCTTCCTCCTCCAACGCAGCGGCGCGACCGAAAACCATCATGAAAGCCGCCGTTCTGACGGGCGATTTCGCGATGCAGAATGTTGCGTTGCAGATGGGCTTGAATGTCCTGGGGAGTGGGGGGAAGAGGGTGAGGGAGGTCAGGACTTGGGTGTTGAGGTGTCATGCTTGCTTCAAGTGAGTTCGTCGCGTCTGGAGCCGGCTTCGACGACTTGTCGGGTGTTCTGAGGCGGCCGCTCTCGATAATGATTTTCCGAGGACCATGAAGTCTGACCCAACTCGCCTTGCCCGCGCGCAGGCTCTGCAAGAACCCCGACAAGCGATTCTGCCCCTCCTGCGGCGGCGCCACTCTCCTCCGCACCTCAATCACCTACGTCCCCGTGACGCCCCAACACCCACTCGGCTACATCCTGCACCTCAAATCGAACTACAACTACCGTCTACGCGGGACTCAGTACTCGCTTCCCAATCCCAAGATGGGTAAAGCCGGAGGCGGGCCCAATGCAGAGATTGTGGTGCGCGAGGATCAGAAGGAGTGGATCCGGGGAGTTCGAAGCGCGGAGGTGAGGAGGGAGAAGGAGCAGAAGGCGCTGAGGAGGGCGTTGTTGGATGATGAGCGACGGGGAGGATCAGGTGCGCAGGCGGGCTCGGCGGGGTGGTTTGCCGAGGCTGGGTCGTTGGAGGCGCAGATGATGGGGATTGGAGGCGGGAAGGGGGGAATCGAGAATCCCACGGGACGGAAGAGGGGCGGGAAGGCCGGACAGAGCGGAGAGGTCAGACTTGACAAGAGCGGGTTGCCTATCATTGGCATGGGACGGAGGAACCCGAACGAGGCGAGACGGAGGAAGTAGGCGAGTCGTCTGCGTCGCTGTCGGGTCGTCGGGGGTTGTTGTACGGGTTGTACGAGTCGTTGGCTGCTCCCCTCGCCGTTTTGGCTTCCCCTCGCATTGCACGCATTCCTTTTCGCATCATGTTCTGGCTCTCGTTCGTCTCTCGCTCTTTGTCGATCAAGGGCAATGCTGCCGTGATTCGACGACTGGCTGCGAGAGATGCGAGTTGCGAAATGCGAGCGAGCGGCGAGAAAAGAGAATACAACAAAGCCGCGCGGATCCCTTCCCGAATTACGCCTACGCCCCTCCTCAGTCCTGACCGAAGTAATACGATCCGTACAGCCCCGCCTGAGCCGCAACGACCCCCGTGACGGCGAGTGCGGTGGGTGAGCGGGCGACGATGGCTTTGCGGGTGTTGAGGAGGAGGTAGATGAGGGACCAGGCTGTGCGCGGAGGTTGTGTCAGCTCTCGCGTCGACTGAATACAACCGTCCAACTCTGCTCGTCGCAGACTGGGAGGAACGGCATCAAGAAGCGACAGGAAATCAGCCGACACACCTGTCGTCGTCCCCGACCCATTCAGCGGATCTCCCACCTTGATCATATACCTGTCCCCATCCCAATCAGCCTCTCAAGCCCCCAAACAAGCTCGTCCAGAACAATGCGCAGGCTCACCCGCTCCCGCCGAATATCGCCGCAAACACAGGCAACTGTATCAGCCTCGGAAACGCCGCCGGACTCTTCACGCATAGCGGTAGTGCGCCCAGTCTGGTCCAGCAAGGAGCGCGTGAGCTGTGCAGCGGGGAAGAGCGTAGGAGATGAGATGCGCACAGGATGGCGGAGGTGGACCATGCGAGAGCGGGGGACTCGGCTGTGCGGATCAGCCAGGGCGGGAGGTTGGCTGTGCGTGGCGGTGGAGCTGGCGCGGTAGCTGGCGGTGGAGGACGAGCGAACGAAGCCATCTTTCGTGAGGAAGAGAAGCGGGACTCTCGAGCGGGCAGAAAGCGAGTGTGCGCGAGATCTGCGCTCTGAGCGCAGAAAGGGGTGTTCGTACTGGTTACAACACGGTGCGAAGCGCGCAGGCGACACAGAGACAGACGCGATGAGGTGGGTGAAGAACGACGATGGAGATGCGAAGTGTGAGAGAGCTAGCACACGAGGGGATACTCTGGACGAAAGGGCGGGGGTATGCTGCGAGTAATGGACGGATCACGGAGGAGAAGTGTCATCTGCGTCGACGGGCGGTGGAGGCGGAGCGGCGGGAAGAGGCGGAGGATCGAGGGTCGCCCAGGCCGGCAAATGGTCGCGGTCAATCGTGTTCCACACCTTCTGCAGCCCGCCAAACGCCTCAATGAACTGTAGATCGAGTGCGCGCGACTTGGGATGGCTGAACCGGCGGTACTCTTCGAAGATGGACGTGAGCGACCAAGTCTGCAGCCGACGGAGGCAGCCGACGACGCAGCCTGTTCGGTGCTTGCCCTTGTTGCAGTGGATGAGCATCGGATGGTTGCGCACGTCGAGGATGACCGAGAGCGCGTCGACGACCTTGTCGTCCGGGACTGCGAGCGAGATGTGGGTCAGCGTGAGCCAGACGAGCGCGAGTGCGAACGACTTACTCGACACGAACGGCTCCTTGTTGCCTGGTATGCCGAACTGGAAGAATCTGCGCACGCGGTGAGGGTTAGCGCCGCTGCACCCAAACGGCGAAGCGAAGGGAAGACTCACTGAATCCCCTCGGACCGCAAGAACTCCAAGTTCTCCTCCGGATACGATTCTTGCACCAGCACCCTGCAGTCACAATGTGTCAGCACATGAGCGTCTCGCGACGAGGAACAGAAGGGAACGCACATGACGCTCTTCAACCCGAGGCTGCGCAAGAACGCAAAGTTGCTCTTCTTGGGGAACGACGAGCGGTACAGTTTCGGCGAAACCATCGAGAAATTGTCGGGCGGGCAGAGGAAGCCGTCGCCTGCGTCTGTTGAGGCGGGCGAAGGAGCGCGCGAGGGTCGTCTCCGTGTGTGCAGGGTCGAGTCGGTGGTTGTGGTGGTTGTGTCGGTGAGAAGGGAGATGGTCGATTCGCCGAAGGATGACGGGCCCGACAGCGGCGTCTGGTCGTCTTCTTCTCGCGCGGGCGGTGCGAACGCGAGCGACGAAAGCGAGACGGTCGCGTCGTCCAGCGCAGGACACGCCGCAAAGTCCATCCCCCTCGGACCGCTCGACGGGCTGCGTCGCTCGCCAAACGCTCCATGCGCCTCCTTCGCGACCGACCCAAACGACGGCAGCGCGAGGGGCGAACACCCTTGACCGCCCCACCCCGCCGCCGAGAACGTCGTCGCCGAGCTGAGACTCGTCGCGGACGACGCCGAGTTGGACGAGAAGCCCGAGTGGGATGTAGAGGACGAGGCAGTCGAGCTGGCGGAGCTAAAGTCGCCGTATGAATGGCGAGAAGAGTGAGGGATGGCCTCGAAGCCGGAGGGAAGCGGGACGTCTTCCTCCGCTACCGCATCGTCCGAAGGCGCCGCGCTCCTCATAAGCGCCTCAACACATTCGTCTCGTGCGCCCTGCCCAGTCTCGCCAGCAACGGGCCTGCTCTCCCCAACCTCGTCATCCGCTGCGTTCGCATGCGCCTGCCCCTCCTCACCGAGTACCCTCCTCACGCCGTCCCCGCCGCGCGCGACCTTGCCTCCGCGTTCCCGCATCAACTTGAGCCTCCACGCTGGTAGCCTGCCCGTCCTCGCCCGCTGCTGCCCTTCAGACTGGATGAGCATGCCGAGGTCTTGCAAGCCAGCTCGAGTCGTCCCTCCTTCCGCACTGCCCCGAGCGACCTGCTGTCCGTCCATGAGGGAAGCTCGAGAGTCTGTCGAGCCGTCGGGCTGTGCGCGCGCTGGCTGGACGGGTCTGAGCACGCGTCCGAGGATGGGCGACTGGGCGGGAGAGAGAGGGGGGTGGATGAGCCTGGGTGGGCTAATTCATGGTGTGCGGAGCGGGTGGGGTGGGTGTGCGAGTCTGTTCGACTGCCTCGAGGGCGCCTGCGAGGCGCAGAGGCGCGGTGAGCGTGAGTTGCTGAGCGAGACCCAGCGAGGACCAGCTCGCGCGACTTGGGACGACTCACACGACACGGCGACTCGCTCGAACGGGCTGGCTGGGCACGCTGCTGGCTACGACAGGTCTACGGTGGACTGCTGGGCTGCTCAGTCGGGCCGCCTGCTCGCATTGACGTGGTCTCGCTCGCCTCATCAGTCGACGACCCCGAGGAGGGCTCGACGGTGCTGTCCTGATGGGATGGGGATCCGCAGTGGCTTGGAAGGGTGCTACAAGAGCACGGCAGGACTTGCAATGGTCCTCCTCCTCGCCTCGCTCTTCTCTCCCTCTCCTGCTCCTCCTCGCCCAGGGCACGTGCGCCAGCAACTCGTTTCTCACCTGGCGCTCCTTCCTGCCCGTGACTCACACTCTGCGGACCAGTCAGCGCTGCTCAAGCGTCGGACGACTCCGGTGGGCCCTGTGCCGCGTCTCTCTCGTTGCTCCCGCCTTGACTGCGATCCGCTTGCCTTCCTTCATCCCGCCGCTAGTACGGTCCCCCAAACGGGGCTGGGACAGCTCCCAAAATCATTGACAGTGCAGAATTTGCGACTGCATGCCTGGGCTTTGCTGATGGATCACGATCTGCTCGTGCGCGAGGTTCCCCCCTGCTTCCTCGCTCGACTGATCTGCGACGAGCCAGTTGCTTCCCGTGCGCCTCGACAAATTGTCACTGCAAGCAGTCGACACGAGAAGAGCGAGACGACAGCAACGAAAAGCAAGCCAACAATGCTTCGTTACTCCCGCTCTTCACGCAGCGCACCCCGTCCGCTTCTCACCCCACCGCAGACTGTTCCTCCCTTCGCGAGTCCGCTTCATCAGCAGCAGCTTGAGTGCTAGCGGCGAGACGGAACAGCTGCGAGAGCGAGAGCGAACCCGAGAAGCGATCTCGCCGAGGCTTCCCACAAGCGCGCAGTCACCCACACAAGCAGGCGCCCTACGACCTTCGCCTCCGCGGCTTTCGTATCAGTCGCAGATGGTACTGGAAGCGGGTCGGAAGCTGGAGGGAGGAGAAGAGCATGTCGAGAGTCGAGGAGAAGGCGTAAGTCGCAAACGACGCCCGGGCATTTTGAGAGAAGCCTATTCAATGCAACCGCGCGAGCGCCCTAGAACTTGGAGAAGCCCTTCTGGCGCTGAGCGGCCACGCGAAGAACGTTGAAGCTGTTTCCCGAACCCATCGTCAGCCGCAAGACGGAGGAGAGGGAAAGAGCGAAGAGACGCACCGGACGGTCTTCGACAAGGGGCGGCACTGGCCGACGGTGACGATGTCGCCGACCTCGACACGGAACGCGGGCGAGCAGTGGACGGCAACGTTCTTGTGGCGCTTCTCGTCTGCACACACGCACAATCGCAAGGTCAGCCTGGCTCGCCCGCCGGTACGATGGGAGGAGAGGGACGTACACCTCGAGTACTTGGGGACAAAGTGGAGGTACTCGCGGCGGATGATGATGGTGCGGGTCATCTTGGTCGAGATGACCTTGCCGGTGAGGATGCGGCCGCGAATCGAGACGAGGCCGGTGAAGGGGCACTTCTTGTCGATGTAGGTGCCCTCGATGGCCTCGCGGGGGGTCTATCGTGCATTCAGGCGAGGTCAGCACGCGAGAGAGGGAGCGCAAGAAGGAGAGGAAGCGGAAACGCACCTTGAAGCCGAGACCGACCTCCTTGTACCACCTGCGGTCCTTTCCAGCAACCTTGCGCGAGGTCGTGGCAACCTTCGCGTTGTGGAAGAGCGGCTGCTTCTGGAAGGACTTCTCGACTTGCTCGGCCATGGCTCTGCGCGCGGCGAGTGCGAGGACCAAGGACAACGAGACGAGCGCGCGAGTCCATCCAGAGTGCGAGCGCGTTCATCCAAAACGGTTCGACGGTGCGCAGGAAGGGGGGAAAGAGCGAAGGAAAGGCGAGGTGTCAGCGTGTTGAGTTCTGGGTGTGAGGAGGCGAGGGTTGCTGAGCGGGGCGTCCTCCCGCGCCCGTCTCCCGCCCTGTAGGGTCCTGCAGTGCTCCGTTCTCCGCCCAAGCAGCGTTGCACCGTGCCAGACCGTCCCATGCCCGCCCCAGTGCGCCGTGTCCGCCCTCTCGCCCGTGTGCCGCGAAAACGTCTCTGGCGGTGTCGCGCTCGCCCGTCTCGCGGTGCGGGTTGGTGGGTCGGCTGGCGTGGTCGTGTGGTAGTAGCAGAGCAGTGCGAGACGGTGAGCGTACGCTAGAGGGGGCGGCTAATCGCTGTGCGGGATCAACGGGGAGCCAACTCGTCGCCTCAGCTCGAGCGCCCACCTCGCCCCGACCCAGTCTCGCATTTTCACTCGCTCACACCGCAACAAGCGGGTGTGCTGCATTGTACACACTCTCACAGTGATTAGCGCAATCACACCGTCATGCCAGTCCAATTCGCATCGCAAAAGGTCGACTCTACATCTCCCCTCGCAACCACGCGACCAGCACCCTCAACCGCTCACCCTCGTCTCCTGCCCGTTCCTGCGCTGCCTGCGTAGTAGAATCCATACTCTCGTACCGGTCGCCCGCGAGCCACTCGCACAGCTCGCTGGCTGACTGCCACCACTCGAGGTCGAGCGGAGGGGACGGCAGCGAGGCAGAGGTGATCAGCCCGTGCCGCGAGCTGATCGACATGGTCTGCGAGAGAATGGGAGCGTCAACGATTGCGTGCTCACTTGCGAAGAGACCCCGGACGGACGAACCAGCGAGCCAAAGTCGAACCAGCCAGTGATCTCGTGCGTAAACTCGGGCGTCTGTCCGTACTGCCACTCCCAGGACTGCACAACGCAAGCTTTCAGCATAGTGAAAGGTGTGTGAGAGATGCAGCGCACCTTAAGTTCCGCCACGACGTCCCGGACATACTCGTTCCCTCTTGCTTCGCCTTCGTCTACCCGCTGCGTATCCAAACCTCATTAGCTCCCCGAGCCAAGCACAGAGTACACGAATACGCACCTTAACTTCCCCACTAAGCCCATATTTGTCTGCAAACTCCCTCGCGACGACCTCCACAAACTTCTCATGTTCAATCTCCTTGCTCCATTCCCTCAAGTTCCGGACGGGTGATGGGACGCTCGCTACGCCTTTCGTGACCATTGATTCCTGTCTTTCGCTTGAGTAAAGGAGCGAGAGGGAAGGGGAGGAGAGAACGGACCCGCTTGTTACCCAGCACGCCGCGCAAGTTGCCTAGTTGTGCGTCGATCAGCATAGTCCCGTGGTGGTACGCGCGCTTGTTGACGAGCTTGAACGCCGAGCCTGAGACGTGCTTCACCCTCAATCAGCCAACGCTCGAGAAAAGACGTGGGAGGACTCATCTTGAACCCCTCGACGCAGATGTCGTTCCGGTCATTCACGTACGCCTCGAGATCCAGCTTCTTCAGCCCGTTTGTGACGAGTTCCGCATTCGTCTTCCGATCGAATTCGAGGCGAGGGACGAAGACGCAATAGTTGGTGTTTCCCAGGTCCTGTCCTCGCGAGGTCAGCGAGGAGTGAGGAGGGAAGGGAGGGGAGGGAACGAACGTGGTAGACTGTCCCTCCTCCGCTCTTTCTCCGCACAAAAGGAATCCCGAGGCTCCTTAACCGCGCCAAATCAATCTCCTTCCACGGATTCTGCCCTTCCAACCCAAATCAGCTCCTCCCTTCGTCCGTCCTCCTGCCTCAGCGCACCTGATTTCGCCCAATGATCACGCTCGGATCGTTACGGTACATATACAGGATCTTTTGGTCGGGGTCGGTTTTGCGGAAGAGCCTGGTCTCGCTGAGTGTGAGAGGGGAAGCGAGGGAGCGAGGGGAAGGAAGGCGGACGGACCAGTCTTCGAAGGCGAGGTTGAACCAGGGGTTGTGCGAGTCGCTTACATAGATACTTGGCTGTGCTTGAACCACTCAGTACGGGCTCCTGAGAGGGTGGGAGGGATGGAACGGACTGGTGAAAGGGACGGGGTTGATGAGGAGAGGAAACGACGATGGCGCGCTGATCGGGCCGTGTGAGGATGCAGAGTGGGTCGCAGTAGCGTTCGGAGGGCATCTAGCGGAAGCATCGCAAGCAAGAAGGACGGGAAGAGCAGAAGAGCCGATGACAACCCGCAGACGGCTCTCTCGCTTCCTCTCCTCACTCGCCCACGGAGAACTTGCGTTTGAGAGCTCGTGCGTACGTGCGAGTTCGCTCTATCGACCCAATGAAGCTTACGCCGTCCTATCTGGCTCCCGTCGCAGATCCCCACACCCTCTCCTCCTCGACCAGACCCGACAGAGCCTCTCAGCCTCATCGCACCCAGACGTGCCTCACTAGAGGTCGTATCGACGCAGAAATGTGCGCGCCTCCAGCGCTTGCCGGATCTGGCTTCTGCTGACCCATTAATCCCCTTTCTCCTCGACTCGACTCGACTCGACTCGACTTTGCTATCTCAACTCGACCGCTCCCTCCCCCTTCCTCCTACCCGTCTACAATTACCAACAGCACTACGATGACTACCTCCCCCCGCACGATCCTCTTCGTAACCGGCAACGCCAACAAGCTGAAAGAAGTCCGGGCCATCCTCCTCTCCTCGACTCAACACTCCGAGAACCCCAACCCCGCTGCTACGCCCTCTTTCTCTGTCGAGAGTCAGGATTTGGATGTGCCCGAGGTGCAAGGGACGACGGAGGAGGTCGCGAAGGCCAAGTGTAAGGCTGCGGCGGAGATTGTGGGCGGACCTTGTATCACTGAGGTGTGTCGACTTGCCTCGAGAATGCGCTCTGCTCGCTCCTATGCATCGTGGAGCGCTACGAAGTGTTGAGAAAGCGATACTGACACGCCCTTGTCACAGGATACTGCCCTTGCGTTCGAAGCGCTCGGCGGCTTGCCCGGACCGTACATCAAGTGCTTCCTGAAAGCCGTCGGTCTCGAAGGTGCGCTCAAGCTCTCACCCTCCTTTGCAATCGTTGACGCGACTCGCCCCACAGGACTGAACAACATGCTCGCCGGCTTCCCCTCCAAGCGCGCAACCGCCATCTGCACCTTCGCCTACTCCGCCGGACCGGGCACCGAGCCTCTCATCTTCGAGGGACGAACAGAGGGAAAGATCGTGCCAGCGAGGGGACCGGCGCACTTTGGATGGGATCCCGTATTCGAGCCTGACGAGGGAGAGGGAAAGACGTGCGTCTTCGAAATCTATCGTCCTCGCGCACCGCTTCGCTTAAGCGTGAGCGATCTGTATTAGATAGTTCTGGCTGACGCGATCGTGCCGTTGCCGAATGCAGCTACGCCGAGATGGACGGAGTCGCGAAGAACAAGATCTCGCACCGCTATCGGGCGCTCGACAAGCTGCGCAAGTACCTGCTCGAGCAGAAGCAGTAGAGTAACGCGTTATTGTAAGGCGATAGACGATTCAAGCGGTCTGGCCGACGGCGCTCGCTCTCTCAATCTTGCCGTTACTCGCTCGCTGAAACGGCGCCCGCTCTCACCTCCATCGATGCTGGAACGAGTGATTCACAAGCGACGCCGCCGCCCACCTATTACAAGCGCACCTACTCCTGCCCCTCCCCTCCGCCGCCAGCAGCCATTTCCGCCATCCTCCTCCACATCGTGCCCTGCATGCCCGACAGCTGCCAGAGCGAGCTCAGCCTGTCCACCATCGTCTGGAACGCCTCGCTTTCTTGTCCGAGACCGCTGGAGAGCCTGTCGCTGTGGGCGGCGATGGTGGCTTGAAAGGACTGGTGACGGGTAGCCTTCTTGCTGTTCGTGCGAAGACATCGCGTCAGCTCGCTTTGAAGGTTGTCGGGGAGCTTCACGCACCTGAGCGTGTCGCTGACGCGCGCGAGAAGCGAAAGACACTGCTCGCCAAACTTGTTCTTCTCGTCGTCCCAACGCTTGATCGCGTCGGTCTCGGCAGAAGCCTGCACCTCCTCGTCCTCCTTCTTGACCTGCGCGAGAGCCTGGGCGTGAGCAAAGAAGGGGCGCTTGGCGTTCGGGAAGAGCGAAGGGATCGAGGCGAGCGGGTCGGCGGGAACGACGGCTTGCTCGTCCGGCAGGTCGTCTTCGATTTCGATCTGGTCGTACATCTCCCGGTCCTCGTCGCGCTCGTCGTCGTCAGCGACCTCGGTGACGACTGACACGACGCTCTGCGAGCGCTGGAGGGTGGAGCGGTGCGAGTCGAGAAGGTGCGCCTCGAACTCGGCTTGCGACGAAGACGGCGTCTCGAGCTCCCGTCACTTGGACATCAGCATTCGCGAGCGAGTAGAAGAAGCGGTGGGAGAGGGAGCGCACCTCGGGAGACTGCGAGCGCCTCGCCTTCTTGCTCTCGCGTCCGCTGTGGTCGCCCTCGCTCTCCTCGTTGATCGCTTCAAGTGGCCTCTTCGACACTTCCTGCGTGTCCTGGGTGTCCTGAGTCTGGCTGAAGTCGTCGTCAAAGCTAATGTCGCGGAACTCGATCTCGTCGCTCTGGTTGACGAAAGGGTCGGAAGACGGCCCGCTCGAACTGGTCGCGTAGCCTTCGTCCGAGTGCGGCTCGCGCTCCTGGGCGTGTCCTTTCGTGCGCTTCTGCGAAGGGGGCGGACGGGCGAGCGCAGCGCCGTCGCCAGGTTGAGAAGGTCCGGGCGAGCTGGAGTGAAGCTGGTCGTGCTGCTCGTCGCCAGAGGGAGCGTCGCGACCCGACGGCGGCGTAGGAGTGTTTGTCTCGGTGTCGGACGAGCCGCCCGCGCGTCCAGGCGAGCTCATCGTGTGGCCGTTCTGTCCCGCCTCGTTTCCGACAGTCCTGCCACTCTCACCCGACGGTCCAGCCGGGCTCGCGCGCCTCGCATCCCTCGCAAGCCTGGACTCGACGGCCGGCGGAGTCTTCGCGACGCCCGTTTCCCTCCCAGCAAGCGACCTCCTCGGTGGCGGCATCTCCTCCTCGCTCTCACTCCCGCTCAGCTCGACGATCCTCGCCTCGCCTTCGGGCGAATCAAAGACCTTCTCCTGCGCCTGGAGCGGCGAGACGCGAGCTGTAAGCGGCCTGCCTTGCGGGAGGGCGAACCCCTTCCCTTTCTTCCCCGAGCCCGACTGCTGAGACTTGGGCGGCGTCGCGAGGTGCACGGTGCGAGTGGTCGAGACAGTCTCTGTGCGCGTGTCCGAGATCGTGTACGAGACCTCCGGGCGAGCGGTGGGCGAGGCGAAGCGCGCGTGGCCTGGCGTGCGGCGCGAGCTGGAGGGCGCGAGACCGCCGGCTGAGAGATCCATAGCGAGATGCGAGAGCGGTGGCGACCAGCGCGAGGCAGTCAAATGACGAGCGAGGAAAGCGAGTGGAGCGAAGGAGGGAAAGAGGCGAGGGCGACGAGGCGACCACCTCGTCCGCTGTGAGATTCGGTACTGACAAGCTTGCCAGAGTGTGTATAGGACACAGAGCATATAGCCAGTCTAGGCGAGCGAGAAAAGTCTACGCCGTGGCGACCTGCTCCCCCTCCTCGCGCATTTGCTCCTCCTTCAACCCCTGGCCGTGCAAGTTGACCGCATGCTGCCTCGCCCACTGCACCGATCCCATCTCCGTAATGCGGGACTGTGATGCACAAAACGCCGGTGAATCAGCCCCTTTCCGCGAGCCGAGCGAGAATTTCTGGACTCACCACCGCCCTCGCGAACGCAAACACCTCCTCGTCGCCCGTAAAGATTGAGCTAGCACCGACGACATCCGCCGAGAGACCGAGGTCGTCCATCATCGCGCGCATGTGAGGCGTGATCTCGCCTGTCGCGCGGCGCTCGTCGGAGAAGACGCTCGCGATAGGCGGGTTGGAGAGGACGAAGAGCTTTGTCTGCGCGCGACCTCGTCAGCTCAGGCAGGTTAGGGAAGAGGGATTGGGACGCACCCTTGCCTCGTACGCCGCGTCGACGAACAAGATGAACCTCCTCGCCTGATCCTTCGTCTCCAGCCCAAGCTGCGGCACACCCTTCAAGAAGATCGTCCCGAACGTCTTCGTAATCTCGAGATAATCCGCCGCCGAGTGAGGCGCGCCGCACAAATCGTAGAAGCCGAATTGTGCGACGTGAGAGGTCGAGAGAGGGATGGGAACGGGTCGACCCCAAACGGAGAGGAGGCGATCGGCGACTACTGCGTCGCCGGGATCGATTGCGTGGCAGGTCGACTCGAAGAGCTTGTCAAACTCGGCGAGGTTCTCGCCGTTGATGGGGTGGAAGTAGACGCGCGAGAGCTCGCGGGGGCGTTTTCGGTAGTCTGCGGCAGACTCGTTAACTCGTCAGCCCAGCGATGAAGCCATAGAGGCGGGCGAAGAGAGCGCACCGATCTCAGAGTCTAGGCAGTGAACCGTAAAGCTGTTCTTGATGAGCTGTATGCACGGCAAGAACTGTTCTCGCTGGATGCCGTTTTTGTACAAGTCGTCGGGTGCACGGCTGTGGAAGGAGAGTGTCAGCTCGATCTGAGAGCGCAGCCCAGCGGATCTGCGAAGCCATGCCGGCAATTCGCGACCGCACCGCAAGACGCGAGAAGCGAACTCACTTGGAAGTCATGACGCAGACGACGCCGTGCGCGTGCAGCGCCTCCATCAGTCGTCGCAGGATCATTGCGTCCGCAATGTCGGTAACCTGAGCAAGTTGAAAGGACACGTCAAATCATCCGGAACACCGTCAGCACGGCTTCGCCTCGACAACTCGCCTCCAACACGCACCTGAAACTCGTCAAAGCACAACACCCTCGTCTCCTCCGCGATCTCGCGCGCAGCCATCACGACCCAATCCTGCGAGACGCCGTGCTCCATCTTGATCCGGTGTCCCTTCTTGTGCACGTCCATCATGAACTGGTGGAAGTGGACCCTCCTGCTCCCGAACTTGCCCTTGCCGTCTCCAGTCCCTCGGTACTTGGGCGGCAGGTTGGCGTAGAAGAGGTCCATCAGGAAGGACTTTCCGCAGCCGACTGAGCCGAAGAGGTAGAGTCCCTTCGGTAGGCCGGGGGGCGGAGGCGGGAGCGGGATGACGGCGGTGTTGGCTTGATGCAGCTCGTCGGCCATGTCGGCAAAGAGGCGGGAGCGCATGAGGCGGTCCCAGAACGAGGGCTGGATGGGAGGAGGAAGAGGGCCGATGGGAGGGGGTGTGTAGGCTTCGAGCTGGTCGTACATGTCTTGCAGGATGGCGACAATCGAACGCTGGTGCTCGTCGTTCTGGATCGCGCCCGAAGCGACTTCGCGGTCGTACGCCGCGGTCGGTCCGGACGGCGACTGCGTGGGAGCTTCTGTCGCGAGGTGCCGCGCCCGCACTGGCTGTCGCCATTGTTGCCGTGCCCCATCCTGTCTGATCTGTCCCCTCAGCAGCCCACCGGAAGCTTGTGGCGTCGCGCGAGGGCGACTTGTTCGTGTTGCGAGGCCGGCGCGAGGCGTTGTCGGGCGAGAAGCGGCTGGGCGAGGGAGAAGCCCTGGGCGGGTGCAGGAGCACACGAGCGGTGCACGTGCAGCTGGACGGGCCACTCGAGCGGGCAGCATGGCGAGCAGCGCGGTTTGGACAGCGTGAAGAAGCGGAACGAGGAGGAGAAGCAGCTTCGGCAACAACACAGTGGCTCGAGGGACAGCGCTACTGTATCGGAGTACTCTTGAATAGCACTCACGAGGCTATGCAGGTCGCCGGACAGACATCCGCGAGCGAACGAGGCGAGCTGGTCCGCGAGTTCGTTCATTGACCGCTGCACACTCGCCTCGCTGGCTTGTTGCTGGCTGTGGACCGCCTTGCTCTCGCTTTTGAGTCTCGCTGAAGCTCTGCGACGCGCGAGTGGCCTCTCTCTGCCGCCGACAAAGCGTTACCGCTCTCCTCGCTGGGTCCTTCGAGGAGGCGATTCGGCGACACAGCGACGATGGACTCGTCGACGAGGCAGGGGCTCACAAACACCTCGTACGATCACCGCAAGCGTGCCGCACTCGCCCTCGAGCCAGTGTGTGAGTCTCCATCTCCTCCCCCCACTTGTCGAGCAAACACCGCTAACCCTGCCCTTCCACGGCGCACAGTGCGCGAATTGGCCACGAACAGGACGCAGGAGAATGAGCAGAAGCTAAGGCTGTACATCGTCCAGCTCGTCGAGCTGGCGGGGACGAGGCTGCAGTCGAGCACTGCGACGACGACGAACAGGAGCGGCGGGATCATGGGTCTGGCTTCCCTAGCGTGCGTCTGGATCACACGCAATACTTCAACCTGCGCTGACCCTCGCCCCCGCGCAGTATCGCCCTCGGACCACGTCTTGCCGACTTTCTCGGCGCCATCATCCGCCCCGTTCTCGCCTGCTTCGAAGACCACGACTCGAAGCTGCGATACTATGCCTGCGAGAGTTTGTACAACATTGTGAGTCTGCGGAACGCTCGATACAAAGCAAGGGAACTGACTCTTCGTCCAACTGGCAGGCGAAAGTTGCGCACGGCGAGATCCTCGTCTACTTCAACGAGCTCTTCGATGCTCTCGCCAAGGTGCGCATTCCAACCCGAGCTCGGCAAGCTCATGCTCACCCTCGCCCGCGCAGCTCGTTTCGGATGTCGACCCCTCCGTCAAGAACGGCGCCGAGCTGCTCGACCGTCTTCTCAAAGACATCGTCACCGAGCAAGCGTCAACCTACGTCTCGCTCGCCAACTACTCCGAAGAAGAGGACGAGGACTACAGCCTGATGAGTGCGCGCGAGATCCGCGAAAAAGTCCGGCAACGCGACGGCTCGCCTTCTCGATCCGCCCCCTCCGCCCCATCCGCCATCAAGCCTCCTTCACGGGCCTTCTCCCTCTCACGCTTCATTCCCCTCCTCCAAGAACGTTTCGCCGTCCTCGACCCCTTCACACGCACCTTCCTCATCTCATGGCTGATCGTGCTCGACTCGGTCCCCGAACTCGAGTTGATCTCGTACCTCCCCGAGTTCCTGGGCGGGTTGTTGGCGTACCTTGGAGACCCGACGCCTGAAGTGAGGAACGGCGCTGAGGGACTGTTGAGGGATATGTTGTGCGAGACGAGGGAGGTTAGGGAGATTGAGGTTGATAGGTTGTTGGCGAAGCGGGAGAAATGGGCGAAGGAAGTGGACAGGAAGCGACGGCGACCGAGCGAGGCAAAGACGGTGACGGTGACGGACACGGACAACGGAGGAGACGATGCGGGAGCGGAACAAGGAGGGAAGGGCACGCCGACGCCTCGCTCGGGCGGTCAGAAGGTTGAATCGGGTCGAGCGGACGACTATGCGCTTGCTGATAGCGATGAAGAGTACGAGGAGGAGGTCGATGGATCGCAGGAGTGGATCCCGGGCCAAGGCGTCAAGATCGACTATCCCGCCGTTGTCGAGATCCTCGCCGAGACCGTCAGCTTTCCAGGTGCGCCAGTGAGCTCGCCCGACAGCTGAGCTTGGTTTAACGAAGTCATCGCGTGCGCAGACGAACAGATCCAGCGGACCTGCCTCGACTGGCTCTCGCAGTTCCTCCAGTTCGTCCCAGGCGTTGTCGTCCCCTTCGTCCCGCGCCTCATTCCCGTCATCCTCTCGGCACTCGCACATCACGTCCCCGAGATCGAGCACGTCGCGCAAAACACGAACGACCTGCTGTACACGGTCGTGTGGTCTCTCCCTGTCGACTCGCCTCTTCCGCCGGGCGCGTCTCTCTCGCCGTCGGCTACCCAGCCAAATCTCGCCCAGCCTTCCACGCATGTGCCAGACCGCGCATCTGCAGCGTCTCCTCCACCCTCCTCCTTCCCCTTTCCCACAGCTTCGGCAGCAACGCCTCGCCCAGGTCACGACCGGCACAAGCCCGGCAGCGATGCCGCAAGCCACCTGCATCACCACGCCTCGGCTACCGCTCTCACCTCAATCACCTCCGCCACCTCGACCCTCACCGTCTCTCCACCGTCCGAAGACTCCAACCTCGCTCCTCCGCCGGACCTCATCGACCCGTACGAGCCGGACGGCCGCCAATTCCAGTACGGCTTGACGGTCAACGAGTTGACGTTGCAGTTTCTGAGCGATAGCGAGGAGACGAGGGTTGCGGCGCTTGAGTGGCTGTTGATGCTGCATCAGAAGGCGCCGAGGAAGGTGAGCTCGCGATGAGATCGTTGTCGCGTCCTGGTCACTCATGCAGCTCTTCCCTGGCTCCAGACCCTCGTTGGCGACGACCCGTCCATCCAAGCTCGCCGCGATCGACCTTCTGCCCAGCAAGGCGGCGGCCGGCAGCGAGACCTTTCCGCCTCGTCGACCTCTTCCGGCCTCTCTCTCGCCGTCCTCCTCAAGCTCCTCTCCGACCCATCCGACCGCGTCCTCCGTTCCGACCTGGTACTCCTCGCCCAGATCAGCTCGATTGGCGATGGAGACGGAGGAGACGACTACTTCGCCGGCTTGATGACGAGCCTTCTTGAGTTGTTCAGCACAGACAGGAAGCTGCTCGAGACGAGGGGGAGCCTCATCATCCGCCAACTCTGCGGCAGCTTGAACGCCGAGAGGATCTACCGGATTTGTGCCGAGATCCTCGAGAAGGACGAGGTGCGCCCGTTCCTCGCCTTCACGCCGCTTTCGCTGACGGAATCGCCTGCAGGACCTCGAATTCGCGAGCATCATGGTCCAGAATCTCAACCTCATCATGATCACCTCGCCGGAACTGAGCGAGTTCCGCAAGCGCCTGCGAACGCTCGACTCGAAGGTGCGCCTACCTTCTCTTTCTGTCTTGCGGGATCTCGCTGATCCGGCTAGGTGAGCAGGATGGTCAGAACCTCTTCGTCACCCTCTATCGCTCATGGTCGCACAACGCCGTCGCGACTTTCACACTCTGCTTACTCGCTCAGGCATACGAGCAAGCCAGCGCTCTGTTGCAGATCTTGTACGTCCGGCCGGTCCTGCTTTCAGCCAACCCGTAGCGATCGCTGACCTCTGCCTCCTCGACAGCGCCGAACTCGAGATGACCGTTCCGATGCTCATCCAAATCGACAAGCTCGTTCAGCTCATCGAGTCGCCCGTCTTCACCTGTGCGTTCTCGGCTAGCCCGCAAGCGCGACTCGACAGACTGACGCTCGCTTGCACAGCTCTTCGACTCCAGCTTCTCGAGCCAGAGCGGTACCCGTACCTCCTCAAGGCGATGTACGGTCTTCTCATGCTGCTGCCGCAGTCAAGCGCTTTTGCGACGCTGCGCAACCGGCTGAGCGCCGTGAGCTCTCTCGGATTCCTGCAGACCGTTCCTCGGTGCGTACGAGGTTCCTGCTTGTACGGCGAGGTCGACTGACAGTCTGAGGATATGCAGAGCGTCGGTCATCTCGCCCTCCGCCATTCGCACCAGCGGCGGTCTACCGTCATCAGCATCCGCGGGCACCGGTCCCGTCTCGTCCCTCGCTCGCGGCGCACGTACCGATATTGCGACGCCAGACCCTCCTTCGATCCGATGGAACGAGCTCCTCGCGCACTTCCGGCAAGTCCAGAAGCGCAGAGCGGCAGCCCTGTCGTCGACATCGGGCGGTTCGACCGCAGCGGGACCAGCGCCGGCAGGACGCGGGCCGACACTTGCCAGTCCGCACTCCGCCAGTGCTGGCTACGGAACCGTTCGAGGCGGCTTTGATGGCTACGAAGCCTCGGACACGACCTCTATGCGCGGAGTGAGCGGAGGGTACGGCGGAAGCAGCACAGTGGGAGGGTCGCGTTTCGTTGGTACGGCCACCAAGCGAGGTACGGCGCCGACCTCGTCGCACCACCCGTTCCAAGCCAGTAGCAGGTCAGGCGACACGGCCAGCATGGCGTCGAGTACGCTGAGCGGCGGACGAAGAGGAGGACCGATCGTTGCCGCCGCTTCGGCGGTGCAGCGAGCTCTCAGTCCGACGATGCAGGGTACGAAGAGCAGAATTGGGAGTGCGTCGAATGGCCGCGGAGCAGCGGCTGGCCCGAGGCGGAGTTGAGGCGGTCCGAAAGTTGAGGAGGTTCTCTCGGTTTCCGCTTGTTGTTTCGCTTCATCATGCAAGCCCCTCTACGCAATGATATACCCGCGGTCTATCCTTCTACCTGTAGCGGGGTGCACGATATAAGCGGATGGGCCGGTAGCAAAGGAAGCGATGCGACGCACCGGCCAGGCTGGAGAGTCGGGTGGTAACGCCTTGGCAAAACAGTGCATACCTGCTGGATTGCGAGCCTACCGAAACAAGTGAGCTTGAGTCCTTGTTCGGTCAACGGAAGGGACAGACTGCGAGTTCCTGACTGCGCGAATTCTGCGGTATAGCAAAGTCAGCAGACTCGTTCGGTGGCGCCGTACGAGCCTGACTGACGAGTAATTCGCAGATGTCGTTCTCCGCTGTCATTAGAGAAGCACTGCCGACAGCGTCGCCACAAACCCATTGCGCGAGCGAACGGAACCGTTCCTCCAAGTCCTGCATGAAGCTCAGAAGCTCGCGGTGCGCCTCCTGCGTGCCGACATCTTCTCGAGGCATCTCAGACCAGTACTGCGAACGAAGGAGTGAGCGCAGTTCCAGGAAAACGACAAAGAGACGCACACCGACGGGTATTGTCACGGAATCGAGAGCGAGTGAGAACGTTGCGAACGCCTTGTCGAGCGTCGAGCCGTCTTGGCGATCTGCGCAAGACGGCGATGAGGGCGTAGAGCGGCCAGGCGTTCGTTGGCAGAGGCGTCGATAGTCAAGGAAAGCGTTAAGCAGGCGAAAGCGAGCTTCGACGAAGGCTCGCCAAGGCGCTTCGGGTCGGATGGACGCCTGTGAGAGCCGATGCTGCATCAGCACGATCAAGAGGCGGGAAGATGGAGCGAGAGGTGCGTCGGAGAGTGAAAGCCTGACGAGGACGGAGGAACGCCGTCAGGATGGATGGGCGCTCGCTCTGCATAGCAGACCGAGCAGCCGGAGTCGTCTAGAGGCCGGACTGTGGAGACGAAGCGAGGAGGTGAGGGAAGGAGACCGACCTGACAATCGCCGCGCAACTCCAACCAAGCCGCCCGGCGCTCGAGATAGTAGTTGTATTTGGCGGCCTGCGCACTGGCAGTGCGTTTGATCGACTGTGTAGCCATGCGAGGGCTGAGAGGAAGTGTAAGAGCGAGAGGAGGAGCGGCGAGAGGGAGAGGAGGCGCGAGGTGTGTGCGCTCGCCAAGCGAAACGATCTGACGCGCCGTCGGCAAGAAAGGAGATGCAATGCGACAGGAGTCTACCGTCCACCAGCCCTCGCCTTGTCCCGTCGCTTGCCCTTGGCCTGTGAGAAGCAAGAGTGAGCTCGTGCGATAAAGGGAGCGGTGGGAGACGCACCTTTGTCCGCTCGAAGGCCTTCTCTTCTGCCCGCTCGTCTTGCAAACTGCCCACAATCTTCTGGATCTGCGAGACGGGAGACGACGTGTCAGTCAATGGCGAGAGGAAGGCGCGATGCCAAACGAACCTTGCGCTGGTACTGCTGATCCTCCTCCGCCCTCCGCTTCGCACTCTCGACAGCCAAGAACTTGTTGTCGTTGCGCAACTCGCGGACCGCGCCCTTCTTCTCCTTCTTGTAGAGCGCGCGCAGCTTGCTCGCCGCTGCGCGCTCCGAGTCTGGGTCGAAGCGACGGTTCGGATTGAAGCCCTCGTCGAACTTGGGGAGGTAGGTCGCCAGAGGAATAGGCTTGTGATGTTGAAGGAAAAGAGGACGGCGAGACTGGCCGGCAAACGTGAGCGAGCGGGAGAGGGCGTTCACAGTCGACTTGACGTTGTTCTGTACAAGCGGCGAGCGTCAGCTCTCGCAGAGGGAGACCACAAAGAATCGATCCGCACCTGAAGAGACGGCGACAGCTTCTCGAGCTTGACGGCCTTGAGGATAGCCTCGATCGGCCTGAAGACCTCGATGAACGCCTCGCTCTCGCTGTACATGGCCCTGTAGGTCTCGACAAGCTTGAGCGCGGAAGCTGCGAGGTCGACCTTGAGCTGCCCAGCTTCGGCGACAGTCGCCTTGCCCTTGCCGGTCTTGCCCTTCGCCGCGAGCGCTTTGAGCAGATTGGTCGACTGGCTCGGCACGAGCGACGACGAGTCACGGCCGAGCTTGAGCTGCTTGGCGTGCTCCCGGCCGACATCGGGTGCAGGGAACGAGCCGGGGAAAGATGTGGCGGAAACGGCAGAAGTAGTCGGGAAGAGGAGGGCGAGCGAGTTGGCGAGGAAGTTGACGGCTTCGGGGACAATCCGCTTCGACTGCTCTTCAAACTGTGCGACGAGCGAGACGAGGAAGATGCCGCTGGCGAGGTCGGAGAGGGAACGAACGCGGGCCTGCGAGAGGTATTCGCCGATCAAGAGGAGGGCAGGAGCGGCGACGGGGTGCGACAGGTCGGAGGTCGACCAGACCATGCCGACGAGGCGAAGGAGGGTGAGTTCGGGAAGGCCCGGCCATGTCTTCGCCGCAAGGTCTAGCGGACCTCGGACGAGGCCGCGCAGGAGGTTGCGGTGCATGAGGGAGAGCTTGGTGACGTAGTGTGGGGCGCAGCTGAGGGGATAGGCGTGCGACATAGTGAGGAGTTGCGGGAGAAGCGAGTTGACCGGGGCGAATGTTGACGGTGAAGGAGATGTGCAGAGGTAGACGATGTGGTCGAGGAGGACGTTGGCGAAGACCTGCAATTTCTCCTTGTTCCCCTCGGCGAGACCGGGGTGGTAGAGGGTCCGGATACGCTTGACGACGGTGAGTGTGTCCTCGTCCTTGATACCGGATGAGCGAAGGAGCTTGGCGAATTCGGCGTGCGTCGTGGGGCAAGGGAAGGTATACGGGAGTTCGCCCGACTTGTCGAATCTCGCCGTCGAAGGGGCAACCAGCGCCTCCGTTTCACCCTGTGCCGCCTCCTCTTCTTCCGAGTCGGCAGCATCCAGGTCGCCAACGTCCATCTCGTCCATCTCGCTCTGTTCCTCGTCCTCCTCGCCTTCGCTCTCTTCTTCGTCACCCTCCTCCTCGTCACTGCCTTCCGCAGACCCGTCCTCGTCCGCCAGCAATACGCCCTCGCCTTCGAGTCCCTGCCCAAGTCCGCCAACAGCGACAGCCAGCGCGGCGCTCTCGTCCACATCGCTGCCGTACTGCTCCTCGAGGAAGTCGTCGTCGAGGTCGTCGCCTTGCGGCGCACGCTTCTTCTCCTTCTTCTTCCGCTTCCCGTCCTCCGCACCGTCCTCCTCGTCGCTCGACCGGTCCTCCTCGCCACGTTGACGCTTCAACCGCCGCTCCTCCTGCTTCTTCAGCTGCTCGGCCGCCTCCTGCGCAAGCTCGAGCGGCGTCTTGAGGCGGTTGGTCGCGTGCGCTCGAGGTTCAAGAGCGAGTTCACGAACGTAGATGTCGTACGGGTCCTTCGAGTCTTCATCGTCGTCTTGTGCCGCAGGTTTGGCGGGAGGTGGTCGCTCACCGTCGACGGTGGCAGAGACAGAAGTTGATGCCGGAGGGGGAGAGGGAGAGGGAGAGCGGTCGGTCGCTGAGCCGATGAGTTTGCGCAGGAGGTCGCGGTCAACACCGGACTTGGCTGAAGATGCGGCAAGAGCAGCTTCGAGCTCCTCGTCGTTCAGCTCGTACGTCGAGCCCGATTCATCCGAGTCGGCATCCGAATCGTCTCCGTCCTCGGCGTCCTCGTCTTCATCCTCCTCGTCCTCCTCGTCCTCCTCATCCTCCTCGTCGTCTTCAACCGCTTCAGAAGCTCCCGTCGCCGAAGAGCCGGGCGCCTGTTCACTCGCACCGCCGCGACTGACAGCTCCACCAGCCAAGATCCCTCGCAAGTCCTTCAGCTCGGCGTCGAGCTCGAGACGAGTCTCGTCGTCGGCAGACTTCATCTTTTGTCGCTCAGCCTACGAAGAAAAGCAGAGTCAGCTATCGCTCGAAGTAGAGGTATCGGCGAGACGCACCTTGTGAAACTTGGACTTGGCGATGACCTCGTCCATGATCTCGGCGTGCGACTTCTTGCGCGGCTCCTGTGCATTCGTAGTCGGTCAGCGACGACTATGAGAGGGAGAGAAAACGCAACAAACCTCGTCCTCCTCGGGCTCTGCGCCCATCTTCCGCCGGTTCATCAGAGGTTCTCGGTTCGCTCCTTCCCCAAGCCCACCCCATCCGCCGTCTTCCAGCTGGTCCTCGTCACCGAAACCGAGCTTCCGTCCTCCGTGCGTGAGCGCAAACTCGCCGCCATCGTCGTCCTCGAGATTGAAACGCATCTTCTTGTCGAGGCGCGACTTGCGTTCGGCCGTGAAGCGCTCGAGAGCCTTCTCCTCGGGCGTCAGGTGCGAAGCTGCCTCGCCAAAGCGGTGGTCGACGAAGGTAGAAGCGTGAGTTCGCGCTTCGAGCATCGGGAGGAGCGTCTTCTTGCGCTGTGAGCGACAGAGGGGTCAGCCAGCTTCTCCAGCACAGTGTAGCGCTCTGTGCGCACCGCTTCGATACCGGCAGCCCTCGCTCGTCCTGGCATCCCCTTGGTCCCGCCGCCCTCCTCCTTGCCCGACCGCGACACCACCTGGAACTTCTTCTTCTCGTCGCGCGTGTCAAAGACGTTGAACTGGTCGTGAATCGCCGCGAGCTTGGCGTTCCTGTGCTGCGCCGAGTTGGACGAGAGGTCCTTCCGCTGCTTTGCCCGTTTGCGAGCGTCCTTGGGGTTGGCCTGGCGGTTCAGTCCCGAGTCTCGCAGCTTTGCGCGCAGCTGCGTGAGCTGTGAGCCGCCCATCCTAGCGTCTGGAGCAGCAGCAAGCCCAGAAGCGGTGTCAGAGGTGGCGGAGAGAGGATGAGCTCGACCGGGGCAGGTTCGACCAGGACAACACGCTCTCATCGCTCAGGCTGGCGCTTTGTGGCTTGCAGCATGCTATTCGAGCACTTGTTAGCCCACCCGGACGATCAGGAGCGCTCCCACGCTGCGCTGCTGTCTCCTCGCCTCGACGTCCACCGCTAACTGATGAAGTCGCCTTACTCGCTTGACAGAGCTTTGCGCGGCGTGCCGATCGCTCAGAAGCAGTCTTGAGGTTTGCTTGAGGTGGCGCAGCTCCTTACGGCTCCCTCGCTACCCGGACAGCTGCCTTCCTCGGTCGTTCTCGTCCGCCTCGACCTCCTCTTCACGCATTGTCTGGCTCCTTTCGCCACGCTCGCGCCTTACGCCACGTGCTGCTGACTTGCGCCCGCTGACTGGCTGTCCGGACTGTCCGCGGAGTTGACCTGGGGGAACTTGCTTGGGTGGGCCAATCTCTCCTTCACTGGGCTCATTCTGCTCATTCGTCTCTCGCTCCCATCGCATCCTCAGTATGAGCTTTCGGCCAGAAGGTACCTGGGGGGACGACTATCCGGGCTGGAAGGATGACCGCAACGAGCCTTTGCGGAACAGTGCGTTCGGCATCGTCGGGCGCGATTGGTGCATTCGAAGCTGATGTTTCCGCCCTGCACAGGACACTGGCCTGCCAATCTCCAAGAGCTCGCTGTCGAGACGCCGCCGCCGAAGCCGGATACAGCGAAGGAAGTGCGCATGGTCAACGCCGTCGAGATCGTGCGTCTTCGGCCCACAGGGATTCATTTGCTTCCTCTGACCGCGTCCTCACAGGTGACCTGGAAGGGTTGGCACGCAATTCTCATTCCTCGGCTGATCGACAGCTTGTTCAACTGGTTCCGAAACAACGTCTACCACCTCAAAGAGGAGTCGCCCGCCGCGCCTTACTACAACCTGGAAGGACCGCTCCTCAAGCCTCCTGGCGCGGGTACAGGTGCGCCATACGCCGTCTTACGACGCTCGAACTCTCGCACTGATCCTTCTCAACCTGCGTGTAGACGAGAATCCCTTCGTCATGCAACTCCCTCCCCTCCTCATACCAACGCTCATGGCGCACAACGGCGACGGAACCTCGCATGTCTTCATGGAGCTCCCCCTTCATCGAAGAGTGTCGTACACTCTTACAGCCGCCCCACGAGCAATGAGCCGCCGGTGGACGGTCAACGGGCCTCAAGGACCGACGTACCAGTTCGAGAACATGTGCCACCTCAAGGGAACATGGATGGCGATTGAGCTTCCGTCCTGGGAGAACGTCCAGGTCCTCCTTCAGGAGATGCCCACTCCGAATCCCTCCCTCGGTCATGTCGTCCTTCGCATGCAGCTGAACGTGCGATTGTCGACAACCGAGGCTCCCCCTCACCAGTACTCGCATTACACCTATCACTACGTCCTTGAACTCGATCGTCATACGCCTGTGCCTCAGCCTCTCAAGATGGAACATATCCCGGTGGCGAGGAGGCAAAGGTGCAAATAGAGCGCTTTGCCTGTCGCAATCAAGTCTTTCTCAGTCTTCTTCTCATGATAGCTTGAGAATCGCCTCTCACGAGCGTATGCAGGAAGCGAGCAACGGCGACCTTCGCAGTTGCAAGCCTCCGAGGCTAGCTCCTTGCTTGTCCAACGCCGAAATTGCCTTCTTGCCAACCAACAAGGCGAGGTACTCGGAGGAAAGGGTAGCGTGGACTTCGGGATACAGGTCGTTGTGCGATTCGCTTGGATGGCGGCGGAAGAGACCCATGCCTGCAAGAAAAAGGCTGAATCCGAGCAATAGCGTCCTGCAGAAGAGCGTTGACACATCGACGCACCCTGCGTGAGCTTGATGATGTACCAGAAGTCGGCAGCGACGCGCTCTGCTTCGCTCGCTCGGGCGCTAAACCGGCATTGGCGATGAACTCGTCAGCTTCTTCTTCGCTGACGAAGTCGAGCTGGACGGGCTTGCCGGCTGCGAAATGCAGGAGATCGACTGTCCCGCGCTGTGAGAGCGTTCCACACACGAAGTTGAGTGTTGCGTTGGCGGAAGTCGACGGGCGGAGAAGGCGAGCCGTGACTGCGCAAGCAAGCGGTCAGGACAAGACTCGCGCCAGTAAGAGAGGCATGCTGACCGTACTGCGCCTGCTGAGAAAGCGAGACGGAGTTCAGTCTCGCTTGAACTTGATCTTGGCGTGGCGGGGGCGAGGAAGGCGTCTGGGATAGCGCTGCCGATCTGGCTGGACGAGCCGAAGAGTGCACTGTGCTCGAGCGTTTTGGTCATTGTGAGCGAGTCGAGCGAAGTGTTCGGAAGCAAGAAAGGGAGCAACCAGCGAGCCGAGTCGAACGGAGAACGCGACGTCAGCGTAACGGGCGCCAAAGAACCATTCAGATAGGCGAGCACGCTGTTCAGTGCGTGTCTTTGCCTGCCAGCGCGGCAAGCGTGCGCCTCGACCCACTTGAGCGGCGTGAACGTCTTGATGCCCTCGAGGAGACGGAGGGTGGTGTGTCGACTTTGGCCGCGATTGCGCGGGCTCAAAGGGCTCGTACAGCCACAACGAGCTCTCCACTTTGCGCCGGCGCTTCCCGCCATGCCTGCCCAGCGCGTTGTTCCGTAATCGTCGCGTCCAAGACGAGCGGGCTGGCGGGCGAAGATGGCGGCGACGAAGCTGTGCGAGGGGCGGGCGAGCGAGTTCGATGCTGCCAGCGGTTCCTTGTGGACAGCGAGCAGAGTAGCACGGCCAGCCTGGTTGTATGAGCGAAGGGTTCAAGCAGAACCCTCTCTCGCTCTCCGCCATTGACCACCCGCTCCCATTCAGCTGCTTTCCGGATTTGCAGTGCTATAGTGTTCCGAGGGCACTCTCTACAGCCGCTGACTGTCTGGGCACAGTCCAGGTGTGGTCCGTTCTCACCCCCGAACCTCCTCGCTTTGTTCGCTGATGGGACGGGTGTTCGGGCGACGCAGGTCGTTCTGGCTGACCAGCGGGCATGGAGCACCATCCTCCACACTCTACGACGCTCGACATCTTTCCTGAGCCCCATCGCCGCCAGTCTTCCGCCTCCTCGTCGGCCGCTCGAACCTCCGACCCTCCTCGAAGCCGTCCCAGCCCTTCACGCTCAGCACCCAGCAGCGCTTCGTTCGACTCAAGGTCTTCGGATAGACACGATGGGCCAGGAAAGAGGCAGCGGGGTCGGGGGAGCCTGCCGTTCTACAGCATACCGGGGCAACCGGATGCAGCGGGTCGAAGACGAGCGGGACAGGCGAGAGGATGGGTTCCCTCGCGCTTGCGAGGCGGTCGAATACGTTGGCTGGTGTTGCTGCTACTGGTGGCGGTGATTTTGCTGTGGCGCTCGCGAGATGTGGATGTGGAAGATGCGACTCCTTTAGTGGTCGACGACGTCGAGACGGTTTCGCCGATGGAGGAGACCGTTCCTGGGGCTGAAGAAGCACCTCCGGTCAAGGTCGAGTGGTTCGAAGCCCCTGCCGCTCCACATCCTCCGCCACCACCGCCTAAAGTGCGACCTCAACCCGCTCGACCGCCTTCTCCTCCAACTTCCCACACCCAGCCCATCGACGTCGACGTCTCGCCGCATGCATCTGCCACCCGCTCCCTCTCTAACGCTGACTCCGCGTTCGCCGACCGCTACCTCGCCTACTCGCCGCACTCGGGCTATCACAACCAGCGCATCTCGCTCGAGAACGCCCTTACCCTCGCCTTTCTCCTCAAGCGTACCCTTCTACTCCCACCCGTCTGGCTCGGCCACGCCATCCCCTATATCGCGTTCGACAAGCTCCAGCGTCGCCTCGAAATGGCGAGCAAGGAGGGACTCGAGCACTGCATCGAGTTTGGCGAGGGCTCGAACGAGGATCCGATCCCGCGCGAGTGCGACGGGTTCTGGGACTGGACGACGGTCGACTGGTCGTGGCTCGTCGATCTGAGCGAGACGGAGAAACTCGTCCCGCTCAAGCGCAGGGCGAACCTCTCGATGGACTGGCTGCACGACAAGCTTGGCCTTCGCAAACCGGACAAGCGCGGTGAGAGTCCGGATGTCTGGCGGCTCAGGGACGACACGATGTACCAGTACCGCTTCTACGACTCGGATGACGACCAGGAGCCGCTCGACAAGTGGGGCAACCGTATCGACGTCGACAAGCTCCGCGACGAGACGGACACGTTCAAGCTCGTCCACGTCGGCAGCATGTTCGGCACGAACCGCTTGCGCGTCACCCGCGACGACAGCTTCGACGCCCGCTCGACGTTCCGCAAGTCGATGGTTTTCCGGACCGAGGTCGTCGACGAGGTGACGGAGCAGGTTCGGGACATGCTTGGCGGCGAGGGCAACTACTACGGTTTGCACTTGCGCGTTGGCGACGGCGTTTTCCAGCAGAACGCTCCGCAGAACATGCGCGGCGTCTGGGACAAGCTGTGCGAGGACAAGATGGGCCTTGACGTCAAGTTGTGCGAAGAGGTCAGGCGGAGTAGCGAGACGAAGAGGCTCGCCCGGCGGGGTCTTGTCGACAGTTCGCCTCCGAAAAGTACCATCGTCAAGCGCGCCAACTCTCGACCGCAGCGAGCCGGAGCGTACAAGCATGCCCCTCTCCCGCCTCTCCCGACAGTTCGTTCTCGCTCCGACTCCCTCCTCTCTCCCGAACTCGCCTGCCGCTCTCCGCTCCACACCGACGAACGGCTGCTCCCTTTCAACGCGCCTCTGTTCATCGCGACAGACTCGAAGCTCCCGCACGCCGACCCCAACCTTGCCGTCTTTTTCGACGCCTTCCCCTGCACCTTTGTTCTCTCCGACTTCTCCTCGCTTCCCAGCATCGGCAAGCTGAACCGCCTGCGCAACAAGGACGACAAGACGCCTCTCGCGCAGTTCCTCTACCCGCAACTCGACGCCCAGATCGCTGCGTGGGGTCGAGGACTCGTTGGCACGCCGCAGAGCACGTACAGCCGCTTCGCCATTGACGTCCTGCATCAAGTCTACCAGTTCGTTCCCGTTTCACCGCGCCTTGCACCGTATGCTGACCACTCGCATCTTGCAGTGGGTGGGACATTGTCGAGCGCGGATGAGCGCCTCCGCGCCTTCACCGCGCTCCCTCGTCGACGCCCGTCAACCTGTATACCCTGCTTATGCCATACCCCGCAACCCGTATCCTGCAATCCCGCATCTCTCGTTTCGCCACCGCCTCATCGCCCGCCGCCGAGCTGGCTTGTCACACCGGCCTCGTCGCATTCATTCAATGCCCCTCGCACAATGCCGCGCAGTGTGACAGCGCAACCCGAGCGCAATCAATCAGCGCAAAATCAGCGGGCGGAGAACGACCGCAATCAAGGCACGAAGACGCGCGTGGCTCTCGATCACCCTGGCAGAATGTCGTCAGTTGAGACACCTCGCTCCTCCTTCTCCCTTCTCCAGGCGACGAAAAAAGATCATCGCTCGTTCGCCTCGACAACGCTGAAGGGCTCGCAAGTTCGTCCTGATGCTCGCGACAGCCAGTCCACCGCCAACCGCCAGTCCCAGCCACTACCCACGCCTCCCGACGACAGCCGCGTTCGCATCGCCTGCACACGACCACAGCACTGAGCGTGCTGCCGCAGGAGTGATCGCGGCGGCCATGGTGGAGGACGCGCTTGCAACGCTCCTCAAGCGGTACAGCGATGGAACAGCCGCGCTCGATGTCACTAAGGTGCCCATCGACCAGCCCGACGAGCTCGTCTTCGAAGATCACATCGCGCGCGACAACGGGACGGGTTCGACGTCGGACCAGCAGACTGTGCTCGGGGAGGAGGGCTCGCTCGAGTATGCAAAGGAGCTGTATCGGCGAAAAGGACACCTGCCGGCGCTGAAGAATCGTGCGTCGTTGACCTGCCATCCTTCCTTCGAGTCGCCTCCCTCGAGCAGTGACTAATCCAACGTCCACAGCTCGCGAGGAGGAACGACGACGAGTTCTGCGCCGTTACTCTCTGCATTCTGTCGGGCGAGTACCTGCTATCGACCAGCTGGCGAAACTGGCGCGAGATGTCTTCCAGGTGGGCTCGCTCACTTGTCGACCTCGACCAGATCACAGCGTACTCACTGGGTCCCCCTTCCGCAGGTCGATACCGTCGTCATCAACGTCGTTCTTGAGGACCGCGTCTTGTTTGTCTCGACAAGCGGATGGGATCCGAAAGAGGAGGACGAGGACTTTCCTCGAATCGCGGTCGACCGCGACGCCTCGTTCTGTCCCCACGCCATGAGCAAGCCGCCCAACTCAGGCTGCTTTCAAGTGCCGGACGCAGTCCACGACTGGCGCTTCAAGCGCTCTCCGCTCGTCAACGAGGGCAAGGGGCCGGTCGGCTTCTTCGCGTCTTCCAACATCAACTTGCGACCAGTTCCGATTCCCGATGCACCAGAGCGCGAGGCGATGCCAGTTGGCTCCCTCTGTCTTGTACATCACGAGTCAAAACCGCCTCTGAATGAAGCAGAGGAGAGGATGCTGAAGCAGTTCGCTATGATGGCCGCAAACCAATGTGCGTCTGCTCCCGTCATCCGCATCCGCCGATGCTTACCGGTCTATGTGCAGTCGAACTCGCCTTCGAGAAGGAGCGGCACCGGCTGAACGACCTGCGGAATGAGTATACGGCCGACTTGTTCCGCCGTCTAATGGTCTACCCCTCTCGGAACCTTGCGCTGGCGTCGCCGTCCAGTCTTCCATGCGCCATGTCCGGCGTCTGCGACAAGGTCCGCGACCACACCGGTTCCGACTACTGCTTCGTCCTCGACTTGCGCGCCTTCAACTTCCCTTCCTCCACCTGCGCCCCCGCGACTCCCGACTCCCTGCCTCTCAACTCGCCACCTCGAACTCCGCGCGTTAGTCCCGGTTTGACTCGTCGTCGTCGCGATCCGAGCGTCCACGGTCCCGGCCATATCAGCGTTATGGACGTCGCGTCTCGGCCATGCGACTCGACGCCGCAGGAGCGTGACGAGTTGCACCAGCTGTTGAACAGCGAGAACGGGATCGCTGCGGTTGCGAGGGCATTGGCGGAGTACCACGATTCTCAACGCACATCCTTCGCTCTGCCCGTTCCATCGCCCGACAAAACCGTCACTCGCCTGCCGACTGCGTTATCCGCCCTGCTGCCCTCGCGAACAACCGCCACCATCGCGGTCCCCGTCTTCGATCACGAAGGCGAGCCGGCCCTGTTCATGGTCTGCGGCTCGACGCAGCCACATTTCGAGTTCGAGCCGTCCGACGAGCATTTTGTCTCTTCTATCGGCGCCATCCTCATTGCCGGCCAGTCGCAGGAGCGGATTCTCGCGGCGGACAAGGCAAAGACCTCCTTCGTCGGGCACATCTCGCACGAACTTCGAACCCCATTATTCGCGCTCGGCTCGCAGCTCGAACTCATCCGAACGATGGTGGATCCCATCGCACTTACGACCATTACCCCTCTCCTCGACGTCGCCGAGACCTGCCTCACATCCTTGCGCGAAATCCTCGACGACACCCTCGATTACACAAAGCTCTCCCTCTCGAACGGCCAGCCCTCACGGAAGGACACCACTCTCTGCGAGCTGGATCTCCAGTCGCTCATCGTCGACGTCGTGAAGTCTTGCGCGAGCAAGGCCAAGGATTTGGCTCGTCTTCGCGGCATGGACGATGGGCGCGCGCATGAGCAGGTCCCGTTGATGTTCCGGTCAGCTGTTGGCGACGGCACTCGGGTCAAGATCGATGTCGGTGGCTTCAAGCGGGTGCTGATCAACCTTATCAGCAACGCCATGAAGGTGCGCGAGACTTCGACCTTTTCGCCCCTTTCTCTTTCTCACCACTCTCATCCGCAGTTCACCGACTCGGGCAGCATCACCATCGCAGTCTCGACATCACGCGAGGTCGCCAAAGACGCACAGCACGAGTTCGTCTTCGAGGTGATTGACACCGGCAAAGGGATGGATTCGACGTTCATGCGCGACGACCTGTGCGTTATACTCTCCCTCCTCGAGCATCCGGACACCCGAGGCTGACCCGCTCTTGCCAGTCTCACGCCCTTCAAGCAGAAGGATCCCTTCGCGCCAGGCGCAGGTCTCGGCACCTCAATTGCCGACAACATCGTCAAGCGGATGGGCGGCTCGCTGCGCTACCGGTCAACGCTCGGTCGGGGAACGGCTGCCATGGTTACGGTACCGCTCGAGGTCGTTTCGGGACCGGTTGTCCGCTGCGACGACCCGGTCACTCGCAATCTCACGCAAGAACTCGAGCACCTCTTCAACCCGATCCGCGGGATCTCCCGACCTGCCTCGCCTGGCCCCTCAACGGCCTCTCGCAGCGCTTCCGCCCCCGTTCCCTCCTCCCGCCCTCCAGACGACTCGCCGCAATCCCGAGTCCGCTGCCTCGTCGTCGATGACAACGCCATCGCACGACGAGTCCTCGTCACGTACCTCAAAACGAAGAAGATCGAGCACGCCGAAGCGGGCGGAGGAGCCGAGGCCATCGAGCTGTTCAAGTCTTTCAAGCCGAACCTCGTGTGGTGTTCGTCGTCATCTCACGCTCAGGTCCTGCCAAGTGGCTGATCTCATTCAATTGGCAGGCGACATCCAGATGCCCGACATCGACGGCATCGAGGCGTCTCGAGCGATGCGTGAGCACGAACACGCCAACAAGCTTCCTCCCGCCCGCATCATCGCCATCTCCGGCCTCGACAGCACGCACGCCAACCACGCCGACGTCGTCGCATCCGGCCAAGTCGACGAATGGTTCGTCAAAGCCGGATCAAGTCTGCGCACGCTCGCCGGCGACCTCGTCAAGTACGACAAGGCGCTCGCCGAGCGAGAACAAGACAAGCTGGCGAACGGCGTCTCACATCTCGTCATCTAACGGTTCCTCCTCTCTCATGTCATATCGTCCATTCCCTCTCTCGTCGTCCCTCGTTAGCTGTCGTACCTCTCTCCCGCATTTCTCGCACATAGTCTTCAGCCCGTCGAGGCGCATTTATGCATTAGATTCACAACCAACAGTGTGCAGAGCTAGTCGTACAATCGCGAGGCTCGGATCAGCGGCCGCAAAACTTCCACTGCTCGTACTCCTTTCGCCGCCTCTCCCGCTCCTCCCGCTTTTCCGACTGGATGCACTCACGGCCGAGTCCTCGCCTCGTCCCCGCGAAAGGCTGGAAAGGTCCGACTCCTCGCCCTCCAGCACCCACCTCGATTTCGCAATCGCCCTCCTCGTCGCTCAGCTCCAACACCTCCCTCCTCGCGATCGCCCTCTGCGCCCTCTCAAGCTCAAGACTGCGTTCGCGCAAATCACGCAGCTCGTTGGCGCGCGAAGCGATGTCGGCTTGGAGCTGGTTGATGCGCAGGAGCTGGGCGTGTTCGCCCGGGTAGTTCTCGGGCTCGGCGAGCGGTGCGGGAGTTGCGGAGGTTCGGGATAGCGGGAGAGGGGAGGAGGTGAAGGGTGGTCGTAGCGGGTCGAGCGTGGTCGTCGAAGCGGGTCGATGCGGACTAGGCGAGAGCGAGCGGTCGGGGAGGATAACCGGAAGAGGCTGAGCGGGATCCAGGACGAGTTGGCGTTGGCGATGTCGCTCAACCGCATCGCTGACTCGTTGAGAGGCGAGGAGGAGCTGTCGAACGGTGTGGCGGATGCCGTCTGTATGCCGAGCGATAGTTGGAGTTTCGAGGGAAGCGGCGGAAGTGACGAGAGGCGCTGGAGGATCTGGTTGAGGGTAAAGCGAGCCAGCGCGCTCGGCGAGGGATTCAAGAGTCTGTGCGAGCGTTTGCAGCCTGTCAAGAGAAGCGGGTCGTGAGCAACAGTTCGGGAGGCGGAACAACGGAAGTCCGCACCTCGCAGCAAAGTCTGGGCTTCGTCCTGCTACGATCTCCGAGCCGAATTCGCGGCCTACAGGTGCCGTACGAGTAGCGAGGAAGGGAGTCGTGGTCGGGATCCGGTTGGGAGGAGGCGTCGGACGCTCCGTAGGAGATGGCCTTCTAGGAGTACGCAATGGCGGACAAGGCGGTCCCTCGTCCGCATTGAGCTCCAATCCTGGTGACGTGTGCGAGCGGGACGAGTTGAGTGCGAAGTCGAGTCGTGCATCGAGCGCCCTCGCCGCCGGAGTGTCCGTCGGCCTTGCGGTCGCAAGCTGTCCGGGCGGGCGCAAGAGGGCGACGACTTCCGGTGCGAGACCGTAGAATGGAGACGCAGGGAGGATCGTTGAATCGCTGTCGTTGGATGCGGGCGATGAGGGAGTCTGAGCGGGCGGGTCGCTCCGAGGAGGGGGAGAGACGGGCGAAGCGGCCGACGAGGCAAGCGCTGTGGGATCACGAGCGGGTCAGTAGGGAGTCTGAAAGCTCACCCGTCAACCCAGAACTACGCACGAGGGTCGAGGAGGACCGGCCGTCCCATCCTCGTTCGGTGATGTCAAGTGAGACGACGGAAGCGGCGGCCGTATGTAGCGATTTGACGGTAGTCCCACCAGCACGAGCAGCCTTTTCGAGAGCAGCGTGAGGCTGCTCAGGCGAGTCTGAGCTGTGAGAGTGAGTGGGAGGAGGTTGAGGATCGCCCGGACTGATGAAGTCGAGGTTGGCGGAGAACGACACGCTACAACTCGCTGGACTGGCTTGTGCTGTGCTGCAGCGCTTCTCAAGGCTGCTCTGCGCTACTCTCGAGTATCCGCTTGACGAAAGGAGCTGCCGTCGCCGCTGGACGCCGCCTCAACTCCTCGGAAACAGATGAGCGGGACAGAAGAGAAGGACGGCCTGGGAGAAGCGTGAGTCGCTCGCCATCAAAAATTGAAGCTCCCTCGCTGACCTTGGCACCCGCCGAAGCGCAGGCTGGTCGACACCGCCGGCACTCCTCACGCCGACGGCTCCTGAGAAAACCGCCAACGCTCGCAACAAAGCCAACCACCGGACAGTGTGGCCGTACGGCAACTACCGATCCTATTACTCCTTCAGACCCGCGGCAAGTTCGAGCACAGAAGCTGCACCCTCAGCCGAGTCCCTTAACGGCCGGCTCGCTCTCCTCGACCGCCAACTCTTCGCCAACAAACACCTGCTCGACGTCGGCACCAACTCGGGCAAGATCGCGTTCGATGCGCTGCGGCATATGGGCGCAGCGAGCGTCGTCGGCGTTGACATCGACCCTCTCCTGATCGAAGACGCTTGGCGGATAGCAGGCGAGCTGGGCCTCGAAAAGGGCGACGACCGCCTCGAATTTCTCGCCGCGAACGTGATGGACGAAGGGTGGCTCGATGACTTCGTTGCGAGCGGGACCCGACAAGTCGACGTTATCACCCTCTTCTCGATCACGAAATGGCTGCACCTCCATCATGGCGACGCTGGCATGACTCGGCTCTTTCGGTCGCTTCATGAGGTCCTTCCGGCAGGAGGAGTGGTGATCATCGAGCGTGCGTTGCTTTCCCTTGGGCCAGCTTGCACTGCCGCTTCAGGCCTGTCTCCCTTCACTGAGCCGCTTCCGCACGCTTGCTCGCCTCGCAGCGCAAGAATGGGACAACTACAAGCGCGCGGTCAAGCGGAACAAGAATTTGCGCGAGACGTTCAAGGCCATCAAGCTACGACCACCCTTCGAGGACGAGATGCGAGAAGCGGGCTTCCAGCTTGAGCAGCGGATAGAGCGGGAGGAGGGAGGGTTCAGTAGGCCGCTGCTTGTATGGCGGAAGATCAATTGATCAGAGCAGTGAGTATGCGGGAACGCCCCTGCTCCTTTGCCTGCCATCCGCTGACTTGCGCCACGCAGATGTCTCCTTCCCCTGCCGCATCGCTACGCTTCGTTCCTGTGCCAATTTCGCCGACTTCGGCGCCAACGCTGTCTCCGGCTCTCTCGCACACTTTCGGGCGCGCTTGTCGCTCGAAGACGCTCGCCTGAGCACGAAAGGCAGCGTTCTGCTTCCGCCCTGCCGCCGGCTCGCTTTCCGCAACTTCCCTCGCCAGTCGCGTGAGCTTCACGCGATCGAGATTATCGCCGTCAGATCAAGGGTTCGTGAAAAGGAATCGAGGGGATTTACCGTTCGACCGGCCGTGTTCTCGACTGTCTTTCTCCTCGACTCCGCAGGTTCGGCCGCAACCGTTGTGCGGACTCGCACGAAGCCACCCTGTTCTTACGGGGTTCTTCGTCGTTGGTCGTTGTACGGTGGGGGGGAAACTGCGCCGGCGAACTCTTGCACACGACCTCTTTCTCCGACTTTCCGAAGACCCCTCCTTTCCGGTTCCCTCGTCTGATTGCCGCGGGACTGCTCACGGTCTCTCTCTTCCCTTCTCCTCACTCTGCCCTGCCCCGCTTCATTTGCCCTCTCTTCAACACCGACCGCCCTTACTCCTCACCATGCGGACTGCCTTCTTCCTCGCCGCTCTCTCGGCCGTCGCCCCCTTCCTCGTCTTGTCAGCGCCGGTCGCTTCCAACGAGGGTACTGGTGCGTCGATCCCCCATCCCCACCGAGAGGCGGTCGCTCAGCACTCCGCCCGTGCAGCTCTCCGCCAACTTCAGAAGCGCACAGACTCGAACAGCAATGCCGTCACTTCGAGCGGCGTCAAGTCGTTCAAGGGCGACAACACGAACTCGATCGCGTCATGGTACAGGACGAACGACCCGGCCGACCACACCAACGGTGAGCCCGTCCTCCGTCGTCTCGCCTCTGAACTTGCGGCTAATCTGGCTGGCGTCCGCAGGCGGGTCGTGGTGCTACACACAGTACACCGACAGCACACCTGGATTCGCCATCTCGCGCCAGCAGATGATCAACGACTTCAACGGCGACGAGATGGCCGCCCGCAAGGCGTACTGCGGTCTCGAGGCTGTCGTGACTACGCCCGAGGGCCGCTCTGAGACGCTCTACATCGGTACGTCTTGAGTCACTGCTACTGTATGCCTAGCAACGGCAGTCGCTTCCCGCCTCAAGCCGTTTGAGCGAAACGCCTCGTGACAAGGAGCTGACTTCCATACTCCTTCGCAGCCGACGCCTTCGACGACCAATACGTCCGCACTCCTACCTCTATCGACGTCATCAAGGGCGCTTTCGCCAAGCTCTACGGCAGCGACACGAACAACAAGGTGAGCCTTCGCAACTCGCCTTCGCCAGCTTCTTCCGCAATTCGCTCTTGGCTCCTCACTCCGCAACTTCCCGCTGACACGGCTTGGGTTCGCAGGACGATGTCATCCAAGGCGTCCAGTGGCAGTTCACGGGCGAGCGCTCCTCGCAATGGAGCTTCGGCGGGTCCGGCTCCGCCTAAAAAGGACCTGGCGTCCCTCTCTCCCTTCCGCTCGCTTCTTCCCTCGTTCCCCCACCGTTGATATTCGCTGTTGTATGAGTGCGCTGCACCTCGACGTTTATTTGCCCTCCGGCTCCGAACGAAGCAAGGAAAGTCTGAACGAGAGTTGCTTCTCCTCTTCGCTCATTCGCCTCGATTTCGCCGTCGCTGTCATTAGCGGTAGGACAGCCAGCTACAAATCTTGCGCTTGCGCTTGACGAGCTCGTCCGTGCTTCGACGATCGACTTGCCCTCCCTCTCGTCTCCAACCCCTGGCGTCCTCGCTCGCAGAGTGCTGCGCGGGTTTGCGGACGCCGTGATGCTGCTGTGGCACGCTGTGTCGGCCGAGACTGGTCGCCGTTCTGCGTCCAATTCGGCGACCTGACTGCGTCCTCCTCGCCCCCGCTTTGCCTCGCACCTTGACCTCGCATCACATCGCTTCGCCAGCCTCGCAACGCTCTCACACGGAGATCCTCTGCTTCGGACCCGCGCATATGCTCGCCGGCTTGAGCAGCGGTCCCTGGAGACGCGGACTGGGGACTTGCGCCGGCGACGACCCCGGAAAAGATACCAGGGTGTTCCGCCGCTTCTCTCGTTGCGCGGCTCGCGTGCGTGATGAATGGAGCCAGCGAGCTTCTCTAGCGTCGCATAAGAGATGCGCTCGCGCGAGGATGACCACCTTGAGCCAGGATCGCTTGCTTGCAACTTTGGAAAGGTTCTACCGGCCGACTGGACGGAACAGCTGGTTGGATGAGTCTCGCAGACACGGCTGGAAGGCTTATGTATCCGTTGCATACATGGGCACAGCGCCAGCGGCCGCGACCACCCTCTCCGGGGGCGACGAAGGCCGGACTCTTCGGCGAGCTCGATCTTCCCTCCCTTCATTCTCCACGCTGGCCTTGCTTGGCGCATCTGCATGAGTGATCGAAGCACTTTTCGGTGGTCACGCGGCGACGGAACCGGGGAGACGACCTCGTCCTCGCCCGAAGAACCCCCTCCTTCCCGCCGCCGAGGCAGGAGAAGGGGTTCTCGCTGTTCTTCTGCCCGCTTTTTCAGAGGCGCTGGGTGTGAACGACCTGCTTTCGACGCTGTGCTCTCTCTGCTCTCTCTTTCCCTTCCCTCTCATACGCTTTGCCTTCTCCTTCCCTCGTCCGCCTTCCCCTCCTCCCCATCCTCGCTGCCTTCGACAATGCTCGCCTCCCTCTTCGTCCCCGTCCTCGCCTTGACGGCTCCCTTCGTCGCCTTCGCCGCGCCCGTCTCGCCCGCCTCGTCGCTCGAGGAGCGCGCCGTCTACAAGTACTGCGCCGACGTCTCGGTTTGCGGCGACTCGAAGATCGTCGAGAACTCGCACCACTAGTGCCATAAGAACGTCTGCGACTGGGGTGAGTTGCTCGTGATCCCTCGCGTCCCTCTCAGCTCTCGGCGACGCCAAATCCTCCTCGCCCTGCTATCGAAGTCTGCGTCCGCTTCCCAGGACTTCGCGCTGATATCCTCGTTCCACCGCAGCCTGCAACGACGGCTACTACCGCAAGGACAACAAGTGCTGGTGGTCTGGCTCCTCGTCGTCGTCGACTTCGTCCGGCTCAATCTCGTCCTCCTCCTCCTCCTCGACAACCGAGTTCGTCTCGACCGACAACAACGTCCTCGCCGCTTCGGGCGTTACCAAGTTCACCGGTACCAACACTGGCGCTATCGCTTCGTGGTTCAGGACCAACTCGGCACAGGACTCGACGAACGGGTGAGCGGGCCTTCTCTCCTGGTTCTCCTGGACGTTCCCGCTGACCTCAGGCTCTCTTGTGCGCTCCAACGCACGCAGAAACTCCTGGTGCTGGTTCCCCTACAATGACAACACTCCCGGACTCGCCATCTCGCTCAACACGATGATGTCGGACGCCAACTGGGATGCGACCGCTGCTCGGCAGAAGTACTGCGGTCTCGAGGTCGTCGTTACGACTCCTGCCGGTCGCTCGGAGACTCTCTACGTCAGTACGTCGCGCTCACCGTCGTCTTCGTCGTTTCTAGCCGGGTTTGAAGCTGACTTCCGCCTCCTCGCCTCGCAGCCGACGCGTTCGACGACGCCTGGGTCCGCACCCCTACCTCGATCGACGTTGTCTTCAACGCCTTCCAGAAGCTCTGGGGCGGCTACACCGACAACAAGAACGACGTGATCCAGAACGTCCAGTGCGTTCCGTCCTTACCTGCTTCTCCTCCATCTCCTCACTGACGTCCTTCCCCCTCCAGGTGGCATTTCACTGGCCGTCGCTCGGAGCAGTACAAATACGCTGGCGCCGGCAACTAAACCCTCACGCCTCACGACGAACGAACGACCACACGCCCTCTCACGACTCTTTCACGCCTCTTTTGGGTTTTCGGGATCTATAGAAGGCATCGGCTCCCTGGCGGGGCTGGATGGAACAAACGAACCTGGCTCAATGATCTACGAGCGTTGGCTGAGCGAGGCGGCGAGCGAGAGAGGGAGAGTTTGCGCTTGCGAAGGTCGACGCTGGCTCGCTTTTGCTTCACTCCTTCCGCCTTCTCGTAGTCCTGTCGCGCTCTCTCGTCGCTGTGCACTCTCCGCAGTCGCTACGAAGGCTCGCCTGATTCTCCTCCCCGCCTGAGAACCTTTTCCTGCTCCGCACTCCTCCTCCGCGAGCATACAACCGCCCTCTTCCTGCGAGCGGGTCGGCTGCCTCCTTCTCTCGCTTCTCCCTCTCCTTCTGCGACTGCTCACTGGACTCACGCTGCTTCTACGGTTCTTCGTCGTGCTCTGCTCTGACCCTCTCTCCTCGTCGCGTCCTCGTCGCGTGCTGCGCACGGTTGTCGGGTCTCGACTCCTCTCGACGGCGAACAAACGCTGCGTCCGTTCTTCTCCTTCTCCTGCTTGCTCAACTCTCGCTCGACTCGAACACACCCGCCTGGAGCGCGCGCTGCTTGCTGGACTGTCCACGCTTGTCCTCGTCTCGCACCCTTGACCCCCGTCTTCCTCGCTCGTCTTGCGCTTCGTTCGCTCGGGTCTTCGCTACAGTACCTCGAACAAGGTGTGTCATGGGTTGCCGCGTCGTCAGTGGCAGCTATGAGGACGTGCCTGCGTGAGGAGGGGAAGACCCACTTGCGCCTCTTGGACGGATTCGCGGCGTTGGCTGAAGAGCGTCGGCGGCCGGGTCAGGAGGATCAATTGGATGGATGAGGCGGCATCTCTGCGACGGAGGAGCCCTGCGACAGCGCTACAAGCACTCAGTACTCGGTCTCCACGGGCTAGCCAGCTGACTCCTCCTTCTCGCACTCGCAGATGTCGATTCTCCTCCGCAAGATTGGGCAGACGGTCTTTCCCGAGATCGCACCCGCCGTGCTCGCCTTCACGCTTGTAGCGGTGGCTGTCACGGTGGGCTGCGAAGTGTCGGGGTTCGCCCTGAAGGTTAACACGATCATGCTCAGGTGCGGCGTTTTACCGCACTCGTCCTCCTTTTCCCGCCTGCTCTCGTCGCGGCCGTTCTGATGCCCCTACTCTGACGGTACAGCGTCCTGACGACCATGCTCTCGTTCGCCGTCTCGCTGCGCACCTCGTCCGCCCTCGAACGCTGGAACGCGGGCCGTCAAGCCTGGTCGACCGTCTCGCTCGCCTCGCGCAACCTTGCAAGCATGATCTGGATCCACATTGGCGGCACGACGCTCGACGCGGCTGAGCAGGCAAAGATTGAGCCTGGGAGCGATGCCGACGAGATCGAAAAGCTCAAGGCGCTCATCGAGAAGAGGACGATGCTCAAGTGCATTTGACATTGTCTTGATCCAGCGTGACCGGGCTCAGGCGACATACCGGGTTCAGGCATTGTTGTCGCCTGAGTCCGGAAACTGGCCCTCGCAGAGCCGACGAGGATACTGACCTTCCTGCGCGCTCTTCGCAGCCTCATCCAGGCTTTCGCCGTCGCCGTCAAGCACTACGTCCGTGGAGAGAACGGCGTGTATTACGAGGACCTGTACGAGCTCGTCAAGCCGCTTCCCAAATATTCGTTCCCGTCCGGCATCGACGACCCCTCAGGCATCAGGCGCGACGTCGTTACGGGGCTCTGGCGCGCTCCCCTTCCCGACGGCTCGACCTGCATTCCCATGCCGGCTACGTCTGGCTCGGCGACACCCATGGTGGGCACGATGTCCTCGTCGGCGTTGAGTAGCCACATCGACCTCGAGAAGGGCACCTTCGGCGCTGAAGAACTCGGCGAGCTGCGCAAAGAGCCCAAGATCCGCAAGGTCCAGCTCCTTCCTGGCCACAACCCGCCGCCCTTCAGCATCTACGACTACGCACCCGCCCTCCTCATCTTCCGCCCGATGCTGCGCGCTATCGCTCGCGAGCACCGCACTCACAAGGTCGTCGCATCCACCAACATCCCACTCGAGATCCAGCTCTTCCTCCACGGATACATCACTACCTGCATCCGCCGCGGAACGCTAGCTGCTCCGCTGGTCGGTGTCGCCTTCGGCGCGCTCAACCAGCTCGGCGACTCCCTGGCCATCTGCGAGCGCGTCCTCTCGACTCCCCTTCCCTTCTCCTACTCGGTCCACCTGCGCGCAACGGCCTTCATCTACCTCCTCATCCTCCCCTTCCAGATCTACGGTTCTCTCGGTTGGCTCACGATTCCCGCCCAGTTCATCGCGGCGTGCGTCTTCTGGGGCTTCCTCGAGCTCTCTCGCCAAGTCGAGCAGCCCTTCGGCTACGACGACTCGGACCTCGACCTCGACAAGTACTGCGCGCTCATCGCCGCCGAGTTGCAAGAAATCGCCGCGCACTCGGCTCCCTCGCCTTCATCATTCACCTTCTCGCCTCTCAATACCCCCTTCGGACCGTACGACACGCGTTCCGCACCCGAGATCCTCGCCGACTTTAGCCAGACGCACGGCGGGACGAACCAAGCGGCGGTCAAGGGCGTTCCGGGGATGCGGGCGTTCTTGGCGAGGAGTTATCATGATTTGGAGGAGCGCGCGAGGGGAGAGAGGGAGGCGAGGAAGAGGAACAAGGCGGGGCCGAGGAGGAACACGGGCGACGACGGCAGGACGGTCGAAGTCTGCACGCTCTGAGGAGGTTGGCTCCTGCGCATGGACACTCACTCTGGCACGGTCGTTTCATTCTGGTTTTGCAGCATCACGCATTCTCTCTGCACTCGCTTCTGTCTTCCACACCGCAACACAGACACTCATTTCCCTCCTCGCCTCGCGCGCGACTCTCGGACAACTCGAGAGGGATGCTGGACAGAATGCAATTCCGGTAACGCGGATGCTATGAGGATAGTCAAGGGATGCTAAGGATAAGACTGGAACCGAAAGGACGAAGAGATCAAGCCAGAGCGAGATGCCAAAGATTCCGACAGAACGAGAAAGAGGGTATACAGGGCAGAAAACGGGATGCGAAAGCGGTGGTCGGTCGTCAAGTATGTATGCATGGGTCGAAAGAGGTCTGTCGCAAATGGGGATGAAGAGGAAAGTCGAAGGGTCGTTACGGTGAAAAAGTCGTGCGAGGCGCCTACATAGGCGGAGGCGGCAAGCTGGTCGGGTACTGCCCAAACACCTGCTGCGCATGCGGGTGGTACGTCGAGCCAGTCGGCGATGGCGCCCAGACAGGACTCGCAGGCGCGCCAAGGTGGTTGTACGGGCTCGTCGCGCCGCTCCTGTCGCTCCCGTCGCCCATGCCTGCCGTCGAACCGGACCTGCCCTGCCCGCGTCCTCCGCGTCCTCGCTCCCGACGACGCCGACGCGAACCGTCCCCGTCAGCCGAGGAGCCGCCTGGCGTCCGACCGCCAGCGGCAGATCCGCACGACTTGGCGCATCCGAGGAGGACGCCACCGCCGAGGACTTTGACGAGCCCGTTCGAGTACTCTGTCGCCGTCTGCGCAGAGGACGACGTCTCGGTCCTCGAGCGTGGGCGCGTCGTCGAGGCGGGTGAGGTGGAGGGCAAGTCGGTCGAGGACTGGTGGGGTGTGGACGGGATGGCGGTCGAGGTGAGAGAGGTTATGGATGAGATGGACGACGAGTGCGAGTGGGTCGACTCGGAGCGGTGAGATTGGCCGCCTCGGACACCGCGGCGGCGCGGCTTGGTCGGTGAGCCGGGCATCGAGCGTCCGCTGGGCGAGAGGAGGAGGCGAGAGGAGGGCGAAGGAGGAGGAGCGAGAGACGAGGCGGACGAGGCGCGCGAGTGCGACGGCGCGAATGATGACGCAGGACGCGCAGGCAAGGTCGGAACTCGGAAGCCGTCGCCGTCGACGAGGTCGCGCGACTTGGCGTCCAGGCCCTTCCACAACGCACCGTTCGCGGCGTGAATGGACGAAGCAGCCGAAGCGGTGCTGTCGCCCGACGCCGAGAAGAGCGAGTCGCAGCCGGAGGTTTCGCCGTCCGACGAATCTGCCGAGAGGGACGAGATGGACGAGCCGCGGGACGACGAGCGGCGCTGGAGGTGAGTCATGCCGAGGGGAGACGAGGGGCGGTACGACGAGGGCGAGAGCGAGTACTGCTTGCGGGACGAAGGGGAGGACGAGTTACCAGGCGAGGGCGAGCGAGGCGGGAGGAGACGCGAGGACGAGACGGCGGCGGGAGTGGGAGAGAAGACGTCTGCCTCGGTCGCTGGCAAGGGACGGACGGGCGTCGGCGGGATGATGAGGGGCGAGGCGAGGAGAGCGGTCGGCCTGGACGATCCGGCAGGTGCAGGCGAGCTCGGCTGGAGTGCCGAGTTGGTCATGGCCTGCAGCGCACCTCGCCCACCTGGCGGTGCGACAATCTGAATGGCCTTGGAGCGCTTGACGGGCGAGAGGAGCGCGGCAGGCTCGATCGGCGGTGAGATGTTGGATGACGGAGCCTCGACGTCGGCGAGCGGGACGGCGAGTCCGCGCAGGCTCTCTGGCAGCTTGCCCCAGACCTCGATGAGGTTGGCATCACGGCCGTGCGACCCATCGCCGCGCTCGACACGGAGCGAGACGCAGCCCGGGTCGACCCAGAGCGTCCAGCAGTCTCCGAGCGTGAGCCGCTTGTCGCCCGCCCGCCCGGCCAGTGCCCGCTCGACGTCTTCCCTGGACAGTCCAGCGTCCTTGGCGGCTGCGAGGACGGACGAGTCGAGCGAAGCGGGGGTGCGGATGAGGGCGCGGTAGGCTGACCCTCGCTCGGGGTCGTGAGGGTGCCAATGTCCGTCGTACCTGGCCGCGAGTGCCGCCGTGAGCGAGCTCGAGAAGGTGTGTGATGGCTGGGCGAGGTACGAGGCGAGGAAGGACGACGCCGCGGTGAGCTCGCGGTCCATGTTCAGTGACCGGGCAGTCGAGCGACCTGGATCGAGCGGGGCAAAGGGTGGCGGAACTGGCGTGCGCGAGTGCGGGTGAGTCTGTGCGTGAGATAGTGGGTCAGCTGGGCGTCTCTGCGAGCGATAAGATGGGCGCGCGCACCTCGATAGCGGCTGGATGAGCGAGGTGAGGGAGGGGCGGGAGAAGGGGAGGGAAAAGGCCGCCTCTGGCAGCGGGGGTGGTTCGCGAGGGATAAGGAGTGACTGGAGGGTGTACACGGAGCAGTCCCGAGGCAGTCTGGTCAGCCACAGCGCGGGTATGAGCAGGTGAAGGAGGGTGAGCGGGTGAAGGAGAGTGAGCTGGCCAGTGGGAGGGGGTAAGCGTCGCTCAACATCCCCTTCAACTGCTTCCTGCGGGCTATTGGACTCGCCAATGCACTCATACACTCCTTCTCGTCGGGTCTACGCTCGAACGAACCCAACAGGAGGCGTGAGAGGCGAGCCAAGTCGTCCATTCCCTCCTCGACCAGCGACGCCGTCTCTCCTCGTCCTCTCGCCGCTCTGCATGGCTTATTGTGAAGCTGTACAACTGCCAGTGACACTTGTCATCCATCCAGTCCTTCGAGCGAGTCCATCAACCCCTGTCGCGGCTGGAGTCGCCTCCTCGCTCGCTGGAATCGATCCCACCTCCGCGCTTCTCCCCGCTCTCGCGCCAAAAGCGGAGCAGTTCAGAGGAAATAGCCAGCCACGTAATCCGACAGCACCCGCTCGTCCCGTCCCGTCACCTCGCGAGCCGCTCCTCCTCGCTCGCGCTCACACGACTCGCTGAGGATGCACCGCACGCTCCTTGTTACTGCTGCTGGGTCCAAGCGACCACGCACTGCTGCGTCTAGTCTCGCTGCCGCGCGCAGGGCGTTCCAGTCGGCTGCTCATGTCGAGAACAAGCTGCGACTCCAGGCGAAGGATGCGGATGAGGAGGGCGCGGCGTTGCACGACTCGACCATCTCGAACAAGGAGTACCTCCAGCACTCGAAGAACGAGGTGCGTGCGATTCTGGCCAGCCGGGACGGGCGGGAGGCGTTGCTGGCGAGGTCGGGGATGGGAGGGAGTGAGGAGGACAAGGGAGGCGTTCGGCAGCTCAGGGAGGAGTAGTAGCGCGCGGGTGAGGTAGCAATGGTTCTCAAAGGCAGCAGATAACCCTTTTCGCCCGCCGAACGCGCGCTGACACCGTTCCACCCGCATCCCGGTCCTCGCTCACTTTCCTCGACACCCGCTTCTCCGTCCCAGCGCCCTATCTGGACCGCCCTGCGAGGTCGTGCCCTCCTGAACGAACCGGCACTGAACAAAGGCGCCGGTTTCACGCCTGAAGAGCGGGACACGTTTGGATTGACCGGACTCTTGCCGTGAATTCCCTCGCTCGCTTCGCTAGGAGTGGTTGTCGAGCTGACTTTGCGGCGAGACAGACACGAGGTACACTCGCTTGACCAGCAGTGCAAGCGAGCTTATTCGCAGCTGCAGGAACGGCCGAGCGCACTCGCAAAGTACACCTGTGCGTTCGCGACTTCCTTCTTGCGTTGCCTTCACCTTAACAACCTGCGCAAGATTCTGCGCATCGCCGTATAAAGGGAGTCGCGCCGCGTGCTGACCTCGCTTCGATGACAGTCCTCTCCTCCCTCCGCGACCAAAACATCATCCTCTTCTACGCCCTCTGCCTCCGCCACCTCAATGAGCTCCTCCCCGTCATCTACACTCCCACAGTCGGCGAAGCGATCCAGAAGTATTCGACGATCTGGCGCAGACCAGACGGGCTGTTCCTCTCGTATGCGCATCGGCACAAGATGCGCGAGATGATGATGCAGGCAAAGAGGCCTAAGGATGTCGACCTCGTCATCGTCACCGACTCTGAGGGCATCCTGGGCATTGGAGATCAGGGAGTTGGAGGGATCTTGATCGCGCAGGGAAAGGCGAACCTCTACACGCTCGGCGCCGGAATCGACCCCTCGCGCATCCTCTCGGTCGTGCTCGACGTCGGGACGGACAACTCTGCGCTGCTCAATGACCCGCTATACCTCGGTTTGCGGCGGAAGCGCGTCCGTGGAGCCGAGTACGACAAGTTTGTCGACCGGTTTTGCGAGCTGGTGAGGGAGGAGTACCCGCAGGCGTTGCTGTGAGTCCGTTTGTCGAAATGCGAGCGGTACTGCCGAGCCTGACTTTGCATTGGTCGCCGTACGCAGTCACTTCGAGGACTTTGGCGTCTCGAACGCCTCGAAGATCCTCACGACGTACCGGAACAAGCAGTCTGTCTGTGCGTGACTCCCGCGCCGTCGTTTTCCCCGCGAGGCGCTCAATCGTCCATTCGCACAGTCAACGACGACATGCAAGGCACGGCAGCAGTCGTCCTCGCCGCGCTCCTCTCGGCCGTCAAGGTCACGAAGAGCGAGCTCAAGGACCAGCGCATCGTCGTCTTTGGTTTCGGCACGGCTGGGTACGGCATCGCAGACGGGATTCGGAACGCGTTGATGCTCGAGGCGGGGTTGTCGAGCGAGGAGGTTCGGAAGATCTTCTGGTGCGTGCGAGTTTGCTGCGCCTACAGCGCGGCAGGCGAGACTGAGGTTTCCCGTCGATGCAGGTGTGTCGACCGCCCGGGTCTGCTCACGACCGAGCACTCTCCGACCCTCCGACCAGGCCAAGAGCACTTCATCCGCGACGCCTCGGAAGTCTCGTCGTGGGAGCGCGACGCCGAAGGACGAATCAGCTTGCTCGAGGTCGTCAAGCAGGCCAAACCGACGATTCTCGTTGGGTGCTCGACCATGTCCGGCGCGTTCGATGAGGAGGTCGTCCGGGAGATGGCCAAGCACGTCGAGCGGCCGATCGTCTTCCCTCTCTCGAGTGCGTGCGCCTTCATTGTCTCTCGTCGAGTGATCGCTGATCCCGCGAGCGACGCAGACCCGACAAAGCTCGCCGAGGCTGATCCGGCCGACATCAACGAGTGGACGAACGGACTTGCGCTTATGGCGACCGGCTCGCCTTTCCCGCCTGTCAAGACGCCGCGAGGCAAGGAGCACAAGATTGCCGAGGCGTGAGATGCCACATTTCTAGCCCTCGTTGCGGAGCAACCGCTGACGTCCGCCTTTGACAGCAACAATGGCCTGCTTTACCCTGGACTCGGTCTCGGGTGAGTCTAGCTCGCCTCAGCCCTCCTTGGCGTTGCGCTGACGGTACCCCTCGCAGTGTCGTCGTCTCTCGCGCCTCGTTCTTGACGGAGAAGATGATCACCGCGGGCGTTGCTGCTCTCGCCAGGATGGTGCGTTCGTTCGCTCACCAGCAGAGCCATCAAAGCCTGACCATCTCTCTCACAGGCTCCCGCCCTCGACGACCCCGACGAGTCGCTCCTCCCTCCCCTCAGCGACCTCCGTCACGTCTCCGTCAAGGTCGCCACGGCCGTTGCCAATGCCGCCAAGGAGGAAGGCGTGAGCCAGATCAAGCGCGACGACCCCTTCTCCGAGGACGAGGTTCGCGCGGCGCAGTGGGACCCTGTCTACCGCCCGCTCGAGCTCGTCGACCGTCACTAGAGCGACAGACTGTGGACCTTTTCATAGACTTTCCTTTCCTCCGGCACCCGCTGTTCTTTCGTCGTTCGTATCTGCATCATAGAAAACGCTGCATTGACCCTATTCTGCCGGTATCGAGTGCGGTGAGCAGTGAAGGGGCGCGCAGAGAGGCGGACGAAGGAGGGAGCATGCCTTCGTCGCGGCTGCCTCCCTATCAGCCCCCGCAAGCTCGCCGGATTGCTTACTGCGCACTCCTGCGACTCTTTGAGAGCCACACAGCCCACTGGGGCGCGACTTTGCAGCGACAAAAGCAGAGGAAGCGACTTTTGGGAAGGCCAATTCTGTGACTTTCATTCACTCGCCATCAACGACTGCTGGCATACTCTCGATGCTCTTCTTAGCCTCCCCCAGATACACTCAAAGTTATGCAGAGGCGAGGGCACCCAGAATCGACGATGCGCGAAGTCGTCCCACCTACACGACGGTTCCGCATGTCCGGGGTTCTCTCTTCCCACTCCCCTGTTCTCGAGCGCACGCGGTGGAAGGGCTGGCAGAGAAGTGCGTCACGACCTCTCAGTCATCCGAGCTACACTCACGACGGACCCGCGCGAACAGGCCCTCCTGATCCTCCCTCTCGACATGCCCTCGACAGACCCGCTCCTGCGCCATCTACACTCGCCGCTCGACCGCCTCAGCCTCTGCGATCAGGGCAACACGTCGCTAAGCGTCAATCCCGGTGCGCAACCCTGCTCCAAGTTCCGCTGCTGACGACGCTGACCTCGCTTCCTTCGGACAGGCGTTGCTTTCAGGTCGCTTTCGGCAGAGCGTGCGTCCCGTGCATGCCTTCCGCTTCATTCCTCGGGCATACTGACGACGATGGCGCGCAGGCGATCCGACCTTCGCCCGCTTCGACGCCAACGCCACTGCCTTCAAAGAACTCGAAGCGACGCAACCGCACATCTCGAGGCGTACTTCTTCCGCGTCTTCCAAGGTCATCTTCGACGAGGTCGACGAGATGAGCGAGTGCGAGGTCGCCAACGAGATCGCTCGCCTCGAAGTCAAGCTCGCCGCTTTGAGGGAGAGGCAGCGCTGTCTCGTCCAGGACAAGGGGGCTACGGGGAGCACGGGGTCCAGCGAGGAGTAAGGGAGGAGCGCGGATGAATACGGTGTCCGTGCTGGGTCGGCAAGAACGGCGGACGAATGTAGACAGAGCGCCTCCTTCCAGCACGCATTGCTTGTTCTTCCATCCTTCGATGCTAAGTGTCAAGCAAGCGTTCGTCCGAGAGACTTCCAGCGGAGCGCAATGGAGCTCGCGGGGCAGGACAGTGGTAGAGTGAAAACGACTGACTGCACTTCAAGCGACAAGCGCACACGCCCGCCTAACTACCAACTACGCCTCCTCATCGTCGCTACTCTCCTCATCGCTCGACGAGACCAGCTCCTTCGACTTGACCTTTCCGACGCCGGCTGGCTTCGACCTTGTCCGTTTCTGCGAGCCGTCTGCCTTGTCCGCCTTCGAACGACGCTTGCGCTTGCCTGGGAGAGACGTCGGCGTCGGGTACTCTTCCAAGAGATGCGCCATGGTGTCTAACGGAGCGGAACAGCGAGGCGTCAGTAGTTCGGCATGAGCGAGAGAAAGGACTGGACAAACCGGCGAAAGCGACCTCGTCGCCCTCGTCCATCCCCTTTGCCTCCCTCACGCTCTTCTCTGCGCTCTCCATCAGCTTCCTGAAGCGATCGCGAAGGTTCTTCGCGCCCTGCGGGGCGATCTCGGGGTCGGAGACCTTCTTGTAGTCGATGTCGGTCTTGTCCTTCGGGTCGAGAGCGGCAACGCTGCAAGCGCGAGAACGGCGAGCCCTGCGTCAACGAAGGCGCTGCGATAAGGGCAGGCCGGCAGAAATGAACGCACGCATGGACGAGACGAGCTGAGCCTTGCTTTGGCCAATGCCACAACTTGGCGGCGTCACCCTTGTCGGCAGCCGGCTCCTTCTCCTTCTTCTCCTCGCGACGCTGCAAGTAGTCGGTCCTGCGAGCGTGGAAGGTTCAGCCAGACGTTAAGGAAGGTGGAAACTCCTCGGACACGCACCACTTTGTCCGGCACTGCGTTGACGTCCTCGCTCCGCCCATCTCGGCACTGATGACCGTCCACTGCGCACCGTGCTTCTTGTAGAGCTTGCGCAGCTGCTCCTCTTCCTCCTCGGTCCACTTGCCCTGCTTCTTGACCGTCGCAGGCGCAGCACCACCCGCGCCCGCTCCCGCCTTGAGTACCGCGCCGTTCTGCAGCTGCTTCGTCCACCTGTCCTTGCACGAGTCGCGGCTGCGGCCGAGCTCCTGCCCGATGCGCACCCACGAGTTTCCAAGCTCCTTGACCGCCTTGGCGAGCGCCTCGTCCTCCTCCTTCGTCCACTTCTCGCCCTTCTTGTCAGCCTCGTCTTTTCCTCCGACGGGGTACCAGAGCTTGACGTGCGTGTAGATGGCGCTGAGCGGGCGATTGCCAAGCGAGCGAGCGAGGCGGACCCAGATCTCGTTCTGAGGCGCGACGACGCCGTTCGGCTTTGCTTTGATGTCGCGCTTGGTGTTGAAAAGCGTTGCGAGTTCGTCTTGCGTCAGGTCCTGCTCTGCGCGGAAAGCCTCGATGGTGGCGCGCAGAGTGTCGTCTTCGACTTTGCTGAACTTGCCGCTCTTGTACGTCGCGCCTGGTCCCGCAAGGCCAGTGTCATCAGCAAGGTCAAACTCGAAGAGCAGAGAACTCGAACGCACCGTGCTCTTCGGCAAGCTTCTTCAAGTCCGCCGAAGTCCACCACTTCGTGACGAGCTGCTCCGTAAAGTCGCCCTTCGCCGCCTCGACACCCTCCGCGCCAAGCGTTCCCTGCGTCTTCTTACGCTTCGTCCGCGTCGTCCCTTCCTCGCCAGCCGCGGTACGCTTGCGCTTCTTCGGTGGCGCGTCCGCCTTCTTCTTCTTCCCCTTGTCCTCCTTCGCCTTTCGCTTCTCGACGTCCTCGAGCCTCACCTCGCGCTCGACCGTAGGCGAAACGATTTGATCTTGCGGGTCGGGCAATGAAGCAGAGGTCGATGCGTGGTCGGGAGCGCGAACCTCGATGAGCGACGGGTCGACGGGGATGTCTTGCAGGGTCTGGCTGTAATGGTGAGGCTGGACGGCGCTGAAGTACCCGAAGGAGGCGTTGAAGTTGGAGTAGGCGTTTTCCGGTTCCGCGATGGCAGCAGCGGCGGAAGTATAGGCGCCGACATTGCGCTGCGGCGCACCTCAGCTGTCAGCGTCACTCCGTCGAGTCATGGAAGCGCGGATCAACGCACCTCGCTGCCGTTGAAGGCGCCAGGATAGACAGGAAAGTCCCTGTCGTCGAGGAGACTCGCAAGACTCGGGTCGATTCCGGCCTGAATCGCGGCGTCCGCCGCCGCTCGACGCTTCTTGCTCTTCTTGCGCTTCTCCTTGACTGGCGCAACCTTTGTAAGCGACGTAGGAGATCGTCAGTACACGCAATAACGAGAGAACGGGCTGAAGCGAGACGTACGGTCGCAGTCTCGTCCTGCTCCGGCGTCGCCGCGAGTTGCTTCCCCTTCCCCTTCTCGTCCTTCTTGCGCTTCTTCTTCTCGACCTGCTCGCTGTCAATGCCGTCCCCAGCGGGCTGTTCTGGCGCGGCGTTGTTTCCCGCCGCTTTGGCCGCCTTCTTCGCCTCTTTGCGCGCCGCCTTGGCTGCTTTGCGGGCAGCACGGTCGTCCGTGGTAGTCTACGAGCCAAGGAGCGAGTTCAGTCAGCTCCTCCAGCCCGTGTATAGCCTTGCGAAGAATCGCTGAACGAGGCGGTGCCCTGCTCACCTCGTCTCCTGCGTCCTGCTCGCCCTGTGCACCGTTCAAGCCAGCCTGGTCCGCCACAGCGGTCCTCGTTGTACCAGCCTCAGCAGCCGCAGCGTCCTTGTCGAGCCGCTTGCGCTTCTTCTCCTCCTTGCGCTGTTTCTTCGCCACCTTCCTCGCGGCGTCGTCGGCGGGCTCGACAGCGGTAGCAGCGTCGACAGCGGTGTCTGAGCGGTGTCGCTTGCCCATTTCGCAGTCTGGCAGCGTGCGAGAGCGGTGAGCAGTCGAGGGGAGGCGTGCGAGTGACTGCGCTGGTGACTTGGTCAATGAGGGCGAGCAACCACGGCTTGACATCTTTCTGGCCAAGCGGAAACCACCAAAAGAGGCTTGAAAGAGCACTGCCACGACCGTCGCAGCGCTTCTTCCGATCCGAGCTGGACTGCTCCTTCGGCGAGGATACAACGAGGATAGACCAGCAGGTTTCGATGCAGATGCTTTGCCAAAATTGCACAGGCACGGAAACGAAGAGAAGAAGGGTACGGTGGATGAACGACAACACAGGACCAGGAGCGAGAACGGACAACAGGGGCGAACAGACGCATTCAGAGGTTGTAGACGAGCCAGGAGAGCTCCTTCAGCTCGGCGCAGGTCTGCGGTCCGCCGCAGGTATGCTCGACAGCCTGTGCCAGGTCGATGAGACGCAAGTCGCCAGTCTCAGGGTGGACGAGGATGTTGTTGGGCGAGACGTCGTTGTGGATGAGCCCGACTTCGTGAAGCCGGCGGAAGTGGTTGTAGAGTTGCTTCCTGCGAAGCGGTGAGCGTGAGCGGCTCGTGCTGCTAGAGCGGAGAGCGAGCGTCGAAGAAGTGAGGGAAGTGGGGGAAGGCGGGTACTAGCCGGAGGAATGGAATGGAGGGAAAGGAAACGCACCGCTGGGCAATGCTCAAACTGCTCCAATCCTCGAGAGGTTTGCCATGCCGCGAGAGGAAGAGGACGATTGCGTCGGTACGGAGAGGACGGCCGACGAACATGCCGAAGAAGTCGACAAGTACTCCTCGAAGCCGTTCGCCGAAGCGCTCGTACAGGCGACCCTCGTGTTCGGCCGCAGTTAAGTCGTCCTTCCAAATCGAGATCTTGAGGACAACGTCGGGGTCATGCTTCAGCTCGTGTACGCTCGCCATCGTACCGGACGCGAAAGGCTCGGCGAGGAAAACGAGGAGGCGAGGTGCGGTGACAGAGGTATCAGTCGAGGCATCGGTCCGAGCGGTGCTTGACGGGCTAGCTGTAGGGGTGATCGAGGTGGATGGCGAGAGCGGGGGCGTAGGCTCTTCGGCGGACGTCGGCAATCGGTACAATGACCCGGAAAGGAGGACAGCTTCCTTGACGAAAGAGCGAGCCACCGGCACGACATCGAGCTGTTGCACACGAGCGTGAGAGAGTAGAAACGAAGCAGCTGCTTACACGGCGCACCGTGCGGACGTCCTGCAAGCGGAGAGGGGTGTAGTTCTTCGTCCACTGTTCGGCTGCGGTCGGAGGGGCCAGGAATCAGCACCGATCCCGGCTGCGAACGGGCGGACTCAACGCACCTCCATCGAGAGCGTATGCGCTCTCGCGAACGTCCTCAGTTGCGCTCGAGCTCGAAGTATCGAGCCAGGAGAGCTCCTTGAGCTCGGGGCAGGCCTTGGCACCGGCGCAGACATGCTCAGTGGCGGACGACAGGTCGGCGATGCGAACCTCGCCCGTCGCGCGGTCAACAAGGATGTTGTTCGCGCTGATGTCGTTGTGCATGATGCCGACCTCGTGAGGCGGAGGAAGGACTCGTAGAGATGTTCCCTGCAGAGCGGAATATGGGAGGAAGCTGAGCCTGGCACCGAATGGAGAAACCCGAGAAACAGGTTGTCCACCTGGCAAAGGAAGTGGGTCGAGACGTACCGCTGATCAACGGTCAAGCTGTCCCAGGCACCCATAGCCTCGCCGCAACGAGAGAGCAGGAGAACGATCGAGTCGGTGAGGAGAGGCTGTCCAGAGAACATGCCGTGAAAGTCGGGAACGACGCCTTGCAGACGCGTCCCAAAGCGCTGGTACAGTCGGCCTTCGTGCTCGACCGCTTCGGCCTCCTCTGCGCCGACTGAAATCTTCATGAGGACGTCGGGGTCGTGCTCGAGCTCGTGCACACTCGATGTGCCGCCGCCTGCGAGAGGTTCGTCGCGAAAGACGAGGAGTCGAGGCGAGGTGGAGGCGTTTGCTGTGGCCAACGTGCGACTGGTATCGGATGAGCTTGCAGTAGGCGTCGTTGAGAGAGGAGGTAAAAGCGGGGGCGTCGTGTTCTCGTCTCGCGGGCGCAGACGGTAAAGGAGGCCGAAACGCTCAACGTTGTCCGAGTTGTACGAGCGAGCAATCGGGATGGCGTCAAGCTGATATGAATTTAGGCGTGAGCGAGCTCAGGCCAAAGCAGCTGGCGGATCGACGCACCTCAGCGATATCCGCCAAGCGGAGAGGGACGTAATCCTTCGTCCAGCGCGAGGCTGCATTTTCGCAAGGCCGGTACAAGAGTCAGAATCGTCGTGCTTTGAGGCTACTTCGCGCTCAGGGGAAGGGTGAGAGGGTATTGGCAGACTCAACGCACCGTCCTTGTGGGCGGCTGCGCTCTTCGAGGTCTTCTCGACCACGCCAGTGTTCGAGCCTTGGCTGAGGATCGATACTGACTGGTCGCTACCGCCGACAGCGGCGCTAGAAGCTTGCGGATAGATGCCTGCACGAGGCAAAGTAAGTCAGTAGAGGCATTGATGAACGCGCGAAGGAAGACTTTGCGTACCAGGAGCAGCCGTATACCCGCCTGGACCACCGCCGAAAGACTGAGAGGCGCTCGGGAAGGAGCCTCCGCCGCCTCCGTCGCCAGTTCCGCTTGGGCCTGACCCAGAAGGACTTCCTCCGAAACCGCCCGCACCTGGAAAGCCTCCGAAAGCCGTCGCTCCCGCACCTCCACCATTCCACGAAGGTGTACTTCCTGCCGCACTCGCAAGCGGTCCCGTCATCATGGGCGAGAGACCCAGTTCGCCTAGCACGACGTGCAGTTTCGAGTTCTGCCCGAGATGCGCGACGGCGTCTCGGTAAAGGTTCTCGGGGTGAGCGGTCGAGGTTAGCAGACTGTACAAGAATGAGGTGTTGGACGGTTCGGCGCGGGGCGTGTAGTACGGTACTTCGTAGGCGCGGGGCAAGGCGTTGTCGAGCGGCAGATTGTAGCTGACGCCGAGAGGGGTTTTCTCGCCGATGACGAGGAAGTAGGGGTTTGAGAGCGATTGCGGAGGAGGGGCGGTTTGAGGAGAAGACAGCCGGCTGGAAAGGGACGGAAGAGGGACGACGGGAGGCGGCTGGTCGAGCGTGATGCGCATGGCGGGGACGTGGTAGGTCCCGTCGGTCCAGAAGATGGTCGCTATGCCGGGGATCTTGCTGGTCGACTCCAGGACCTGCCAGACGTCTATGTCAGCCAAGTTGAGAGGAGGACGAAGCGAGCCATACATTGCCCAAGAGGCTCTGAGCGCCAGCCTGGCTCGATCCCTCGAGGTCGGAGAGAAGGATGTCGCGCTTCCCTCCTTCGGTCAGGCGCTTCACCTCCTCGACCAGTGCGTCCAGCACGTCCTTCGACCGCGCCTCGACAACTCCGCGCACACTTCCCCTCACCCGAATCTCGCAATGGGTGAGCGACTCTTTCGAGTGAGCGGGGGGGTTGGGAGCGAGCTCGATGAAGCCGTAGTCCCCAGTAAGCGCATGAGCGAGCCGCCGCATCGCGTCTGCGGTCCGGCGCAGTGTCGCGTCGACGGTGGTGGCGCCGAGGAGAATTGAGGTTGACACTTCCGACTGCGAAATCGAGCTCGTGACGAGTGTGAGGATGGAGAAGAGCGAGAGCGTTCCAAAGGATCGCGGGATCAGACTCGCAGTGCAGCGCCGCTCGCCCGATTCTGGACATGGACTTGGCGAGATTGGTGTCGTAGAAAACAGCCAGCAGTCCCTCGGAAGCAGCCTGCGATTCGCGAGCATCGAGAGGTGTAGGAAGATCCGTTGGCTTCGGCGATGGGACTGCCCAATACCCGCTCCCACTCGGCGCTGGGGGGATGATGAAACAGTCGAGGAAGTCACACACGTGTGCATAGAGGTTTCGAGCGAGCACGCCGTCAACAGTGGGGCAGGCGGTCGGAAAGAAGTCAACGGGCGGCTGGACGGGACGAATCGGAGGAGGCTGCCACGATGGGGGCAGAAGATAGTAAGTTGGATACATGGTGACCCTTTGGCGATCTCCAGGACGCCTCGACGAGCCCTCAGGTCGGCGGATCCTCCGTTCTAAAACCGTGTCCCGGCCAAAGCGATGCAGATTCGTGAGCGGGGAGCAAGGATCGCGGCACTCGGATGGCTGAGCAGCAAGACTCGAGACGGCTCTACCGTCGATAGCGAGGCCTTGATCGAGGCAGCGTGTGAGAGCTGGGAAGGAAGAGAACGACGAGGAGCACTGCTCTAATCTGCATTACAAGCCCGTCCTATTCAGCTTTGTATGCTTGCATCCGTAATGAGCTGCAATACGAACGCGGTGTAAGCGAGTTGTATTCTGGCTCTCTCCACCTCTCTGGCCTCTCTCCGGCCGCTAAGAATTCGCTGAGACTGCTTGATCTGCTGGACTCATTCACTCGCGAGTGCTGCCCCTACTTGAATGCCGCAGCGCGACCCAGGAGCTCCCCTCTCTCCTCCGCGTCACCAACCTCGTCAACTCATCACATCCCAATCTCGCCCGGGATCTGCAGCGGTCTCAGCAGAGCGATCCAAAGGAGGGCAAGGTGAGTTCTACGAAGCAAGACTGGCCGAACACCGGCGCGAGACGGAACTCTGCGGACTCGGCACACGACGAGGTGAACAACAGAGTTCAGGCCTGCGCGGCGTCGGGACAGTCTCGCTTGCATCGCGAACGTTGCGGACGGGGCCGACGGGGCGTCTGCGTACCACGCACTCGAACGGCGCGCCGCAGAGAAGGAATGGACGCTTCGCACGCTGTGGGGAGGAAGGGCTTGGACAGCATGCCGCGATAGCAGGACCAAAGCTCCGTGCTGATTCACGAGGACAAGCGTGCTGACCGCTTGCAGTAACCGCCGCACCCGCAGCTACAATGTCAAACCGTCTCGCCGCCTCGACACTGTCCTCGCGAGGAGCAGTACCGACCTACCTCACCAGCGACACCCCGCCTACCCCCTCGCGCTCGCCATCCAACGCTTCGACAGGAGGGGACGCGTCAGGCGGCGAGGGCGACGACTCGGAAGCCGAATCAGACTTCCCGGACGGCGACCCCGATGACCCCGACACCTCGTCCATCTCGCTTGCGCACCTCGGACCCGCACTGGCGACACCGAAACCTTCCGCTCTCACGCCGTGGCCGTTCAACGCGCCCGGAGGCGGCATGACGAGCCCGACACAGGACTCTCTCGGCCCTGCAGCGATTCCCGCCTCGTCCCTCCCACACGAGATCCTCCTCCACATCCTCCGTCTGCTCCCCTCCGCATCTCTCGCTCCCGCCCTCCAAGTATGCAAGGCGTGGTGCCAGTGCGGCGTCGAGCTCCTTTGGCACAAGCCCAGCTTCTCGTCTCTCGCCCCGCTCTACAAGATGCTCCAAGTCCTCTCGCTCCCCGACAAGACCTTCCCTTATCCCGACTACATCCGCCGGCTCAACTTCCAGCCTCTCGCGGGAGAGTTGACCGACCAGGTCGTTGCCAAGCTCTTGCCGTGCACGAACCTCGATCGCCTCACCCTCACGAACTGCAAGAAGTTGTCGAGTCCGGCACTCGTTGCGCTCCTGACGAAGAAAGACCCGCCGGCTCGTCGCGCTCGACATGACGGACGTGACTGAGGTCGACGACCATGTCTTGCAGGCGCTCGCGGACAACTGCCCGAAGCTGCAGGGGTTGAACTTGAGCGGATGCACGAAGATCACGGACAAGGGCATGGAGGCGCTCGCACTGGGCTGCACGAGCATGCGGCGGGTGAGCGAGCCTCCCTTGCTCTCGCACGGCTTGGTTGCCCTTACTGACTTCTTTGGCCTACAGATCAAGCTCCGAAAATGCGACCAGATCACCGACATCCCCATCATCCTTCTCTCGCGCAACTGCCCTCTCCTCCTCGAAGTCGACCTCGCCAACTGCACCTCAATCACCGGTCTCTGCGTCACCGAGCTCTTCCGAACCTCGCGACTCCTCCGCGAACTCTCCCTCATCGGCTGCGCGCACATCACCGACGACGGCTTCCCCAACGCAGACGAGCTCCAGCTGCTCAAGCAGAGCTCGTCCAATTCGGCGTCGGGATATCCCAGCCCGACTCTCGGCGCGAACGGCGACGATCTGTATCCGTCCTCGTCATCTCGCTCGACTTCGCCCGGTCCCGACCCGCTCACGACCTCCAGCGGCACCCTGATCCCTCGACCCGCTCCTCTCACCTCTCCACCCGCGTACCGCCCCTTCGACCAACTCCGCTATCTCGACCTCACCGCCTGCTACGGCCTGACCGACGCAGCCATCGCCGGCATTGTCAAGTATTGCCCGAAGCTGCGGAATCTCATTCTCGGCAAGTGCCATCGCCTGACGGACGAAAGCTTGTACGCGATCTGCGGATTGGGCAAGTACCTGCACCACCTGCATCTCGGACATGTCAGCGGGTGCGTTCTGACCTTCGACTCATGCGAAGCAAGAGCGAGACTGACAGCGTTCCTCGGCAGGATCACCGATCGAGCCGTGACGGCCGTCGCTCGCGCTTGCACCCGCATGCGATACGTCGACCTCGCTTGTGAGTTTCGCTCTCTCACGTCGTTCACCCCCGTGTTCAACACTGATACTGTTCCGCCATGCAGACTGCAGTAACTTGACCGACCTCTCCGTCTTCGAGTTGGCCGCAAACCTGTCCCGCCTGAAGCGAATCGGTCTCGTTAGGGTCAGTACGCCCGCCATCTCCTCGAGAGCTCACGACTTACATTCGCTCGCTCGCACAGGTCAACAACATCACCGACGCCGCCATTCAGTCGCTCGCCCACCGCAACTCGCTCGAGCGCATCCATCTCTCCTATTGCGACAACCTCACCGTTCCCGCCGTCAACGAGATGCTCCAAGCCCTCCCTCGTGTCACGCACCTCTCTCTCACCGGCGTCACCGCATTCCGCAAGCAAGCCCTACAACGATTCTGCCGCTCTCCGCCGAAGGACTACAACGAGCACCAGCGCCGATCGTTCTGCGTCTTCTCCGGCCGAGGCGTGCAGGAGCTTCGTCGATGGCTTCGAAGCCTCAGTCGACACGAGATCGCGCTCCTCGCGCAGCCCGACCCGCCGGCGGACGAGGACCCGCTCACTGCGGCTGCACGACTCGCAGGCGCAGGCGGGAACGGCCCGATCCCTCCAGGCCAGACCGCCGCCCAATTCGCTGCAGCGCAGGCGAACCTCAACGCTGCGCGGCACAATCTCGCGATGGCGCACCACCAGCGACAGCTTCAGGCCGCCCAGCAGGCGGCAGCGAACGCTGCGATTCCGACTCAGCAGCAGATGCAGCCGCCGATTCAGCCCGGCGCGCAAGTCCCCGTTTGGAATCCTTACCTCGGCGGCGGTGCAGCAGCAGCGGGCAACATGCTCGGCCTGAACATGGCGGCGCAGCCTCAGGCGGGTGGTGGGTTCGGAGCGGTCGGCGGAGGAGGAGGAGTGGCAGCATTGCCGCCGCAACATCCGCAGGCGGCGCAACAGGACGACGACGACGACGACGACGACGCTGCGTGGGCCGGTCCTGCTTACGTTCCTGGGACCTTCCCGAACGCGCCTCCTCAGCAAGTCCCGATTCAATGGATCGACCCGCCTCAGCGCGCGCATCTGCAGGCGCTCCAGCAGGCGGCGCAGATCGGCGGTGCGACGGCATCGACCAGCGCAGGCGGGTTGCGAAACTCGGCTCCTCCGGCTTTTGGCAGCACCTCGGCGGGCCCTTCGTCGTCTTCCTCGGCATCGAGTGCCTCCAACTCGCACGACCGGTCGGAAGCTCGTCGGGCACGCGTGGAGCGGATCCAGCAGCGTGTCGACTCGATCTTTGGCAGGGAGGAGGACATGGACGTCGACGACAGCCGGCCGCGGCGGGCTCGACGCGACACAGTT